TGTGTGTGTGTGTGTGTGTGTGAAATACGATGCCTACAGTAGCTGTATGGACAAAGAAAATAACTATGGAAGCTTGACAGGAAGTTGGGATATTAACTAGAAGAGAATGACAAATAAAGACAGCCCACAGTGACAAGGAAAAAAGAAAAGAAAACAGGGACAGATTATACATTTGGCAAAACACTGAGTTTTAAGTTTCAAGTTTTAAGGTATTTTATTATTATTTATTATTTTCATTCCTAATGATATTCCTACAGCTTGCTGCAGTACATGAATGACCAGCTGCTGTGTCCGCAGCCTTGACCCACTTGTGGCCTGCTTGACCTTTATGTTTGACTCATACAGTACATGTTCTTTAGGCAGGTTGTGATGCTGTTACTCCCATATGACTCACATGCAACCCTGACCTCGAATGTCAAGCCACAGCAGGCCTGGAGGAAAAAGTCATTGATTGCATCATGAACAAACAGCAGTAAGAGCGCAGACACACATATTGTTGTGGTTTGTGTAAATTAAAAGTACCTCTCAAAGACACAGGGAGAACAGTTAGCTGATGTTCTTCATCTCGCTTTAATCAGGCCAGACTGACTTGACTTAAAAGAATAATTCATCAGTCACAGACAACAGACCATAGATTCATCTGCCATGGAGTGTTTTGTTACCTTTGGACAGAGGCAGGCTGTTTCCCTGCTTCCAGTCTTTGTGCTGAGCTAAGCTAACTCCAGCTTCACATTTACCGTACAGTCGTGTGAGTGGTATCAGTCTTCTCCTCCAGGTCTCAGCGACACAGCAGATGAGTATATTTCCCAAAATGTCAAACTATTCCTTTAATCAACAGGTTATTTAAATTGGTGTGGCCACTCTTCCCTGTTTGGATTTCAGCAGGAAAAGTAGCTTTTCCTGTTGGTCTGCTACTCTGCCTTCACACACTGGCTTAGAGATTTGTTAAAAAATGTTTATAAGATAAACCTATATTTTAAGATCTGGCAGCCTCATGAAAAGTACTTTGAAAAGATTTCATTTTAAATTAGATTTTATGCTACTAACTTACTTTTCATAGTTGTTTTATAGATTTCTTCTCTCTCTTATACTATGCCTCTACATCTACACACTGTACAGATATTTCTCAATGTGTAGCTGAACAATCCTGTTTATTCTTTTTTTTGTTGTTGCTTGCATTTAATAAGAATAAAAGTGTTATTTTTGGTGAAATAGCAACATGCCATCATGTTTGATGCTATGACATAAAAGGAAGGAGTTTGAATGAAACTGAACATTGTCATCATCAGCTAACTCTAAAACATGTGACTCTGTGTGGACATCAAGCTGCCAATATTTAGATCTGCCCTGAAAATTTTCCCATGCCTCTCTCCATCTAGACAAAAACACACACACACACACACACACACACACACACACACACACACACACACACACACACACACACACAAAGCTAAACAACAGCAAACAGGTGATGCAGACCCAACACAAATGGACTAAAACCCTTGAGGTAAAAGCAGGGTGGTAAGTGGTGAATTGGGGAGTGGGGGGGGGGGTGTAAAACAGGCCCGAGAACAGAGGCCAGTGAGTACACCTGCACTCAGAGGAGACAAACACACCTCCCCAGCAGCTGGTTAAACAACACACACACACACACACACACACACACACACACACACACACACACACAAAAGTCTCCAGCCTCTTATTTATAACCTCGCCCACACAGCAGAGAAGCCTGAGCAGAGAAGACGCACCACACAGACAGACAGTAACAGCTGGTCACAGTCCAGGTCACACAGGAGGAGCACTGAACACTAGGAACATATTAAATACAAAGCACCTACTGCTAAAAACGTCCACTATCATTTCTTTGAAGGATGAAAATCAATTCTTTACATTTGTGACGCTGAAACAAACAAATCCTCAGTCCAATTCAGCCTATCAAAGATGCTGATAATCTACTATAATTAATAGTCAAAATGTACATTACTTGATCTTCTAGCACTAATTTCATCAATTAATTGGCTAATTGTTCCCGAGTAGTAATTTCCTTCACTTCAAAAGGGATTGTGATATTTATAAATAATAAATCTATGAATAAATTAACAATTGAAATTGAAATCATTCCCACGTGTATTGATTGATTTAACTGCAAGATAAACAACGAAGAGATGAGCGTAAATCATCACTTGAAGAAACTGAAGAAAAATGTGACATGAAACAACAAGTCATATCTACAATAAAATGGGTTTGCAGAGGTGTGGGTGTAAGAGAACGTCTCCGTGTGGAATAACATGAGCTGCAGTGATGGAGATCAAATATCAGAGGAGGGTCAAATCTTCAATCACGCTAATTTTGATCCAGAGTGACACAGAAGCACACTGTCCTGCATGTGTGAGAGTGTGTGTGTCACCACATCATCAGTTTATGTAACTAACCGCCAGCAGAGCAAATAGTTGGGGAGATTATCACTTTCTCTTTGGCCTCTGATTAAAAGAATATCTACATAGATTACACTCCTCTCCTGATGCTGTTTTTGAGCGACAGATGACACACACTCTTCTGAGTGCCGATGTGTGTGTGAGAATAAGACATAACTGAACCATTATTAAGACCTGATGATCCTGTCTAACACTGACAGCATTGTGTTTTATATGGTTTTATATGGTGATCAAACTGGATCTGAATGTTGACTCAAAACATTCCTGAAATGAAATAATTCTAAAAATCATCCAGCAGTCAGTCACAGAGGAAGAGCCTTGACATACTGCAGATACACTGCAGATACACATGAACTGAACCTCACTATTTAATCTTCTACATCTCAAAAGAAACTCCTCAGCTCCAGTGATGAGAGCACATGTAGGCCAACTCTCTTCAGCTGAAGTGACTGACTACACACCACATTCATCCATTACACTGGGACCTGTTCCATCTTCATTTATGCCACCCACCAAAGGGCAAGCACTGTGTATTCAGCCACCATCACCATCATCATCATCATCATCATCATCATCATCATCATCAGTCACTACTGTGCCAACTTCAAACACAAAGCATTTCACTGTATCACAGGTTTAACAGTTTGGCTGTGGTTTAGCATTTGTAGATGAAACAAACACATGAATGATCATTCTCAAACATTCAGATCGATCATCAGCAAAAACTTAATGAGTGTGAGCTCTCTACCTTCCGTGTCGCTCCTCGTGTCCATACCGAGACAGATGCGTGGAGGACTTCTGTTGTCCGGGTCAGCGGTGCGACGTCCTCCTGGTGCCGCAGAGTCTCCGGTGTCTGATCCGCGGGGCAGCTGGGGTGCGCGCGCGCAGCTGGGGTGCGCGCTGAGTTAGTGGAAGTCAAGGAACAGCCTTTAGAGCGCGTGGCGAGCGAATGAAATCAAACACGAAAAAAAAAAAAAAAAAAAAAATCGTATTTCAGGAACATTGAGCATCATGTGTCCATTCCACACTGAGACCATTTTAGAACCGTTGAAGTGGATCACTCAATCACATTTAAAATGGCAGCCTTCTCTGTGTCACAGTGTAAAGGTAAAACTTGTAGTCTACTTAAAGGCTATGACAATATAAAACAAGAGGATGAAATATTAAAAGCAAGTTAACAACTAGAATTGTTAATGAATTTGAACACTGTGGGAAAAACCTGTTCTAAAATGTTCTAATAAAGCTGCTTCTTCTCTTCCTCTGTCACAGGGGAGCACCTTCAATTCTCCAAGAGACAGTCACACACACACACACACACACACACACACACACACACACACACACACACACACACACACACACACACACACACACACACAAACACAAACACACTATGCTTCACATGCCACTGCTGTTTACAACACTGCTTCCTTTCTCGTGGGAACGATGAAGAGCAGCTTATTATACTATGAGAGGCACGGAGGAAGTTCCTGTGGAGTTTGAGGTTTTCATCACTTCTGAAGAATCTGGGAAATGTGGCTGACTACAGTGTTCATACAGAGAATTAATGGCTTTAATGTAACACTCCCAGACTTTTTTTTGCATAATAAGATGCAAAATTAATATTCTAGAAAGGCACATAGGCCAGCAAATCCAGCCTTATCTTACATATAATGATAGTACAGATTCGACTTTATTTAGGCCTATGTTTCAACTGACTGACCTCAGGAGGAGGCAAACTTGACCTATTGTTAGTGTATATTATTTAAAAGACAGTTAAAGTGTCCGTGCATAGTGATCTGGGAATTAACTTTGTTTTGTGTTTTGTTCTGACCTTTTTCCCACATTAAATGTGTATCCGGTACAAGCTGCTTCACTTCACTTTATATCATTCAAAGACTCTTTTAAGTCAAGTTGTCAAGTTTACCAAGAAATCATCATGTTCATCTCTCCATACAGAATGTTTCAGTGTTGAAATACAAGATACAGTGCTTCACCGTGTGTTCTGTATTTCATCTCTATTCAACGGCCATTTCTTTTTCAAGTCATAATTTTTGGCAAATGTTCCATTGATAACATAGTTTGAAAATTAATTTCCTGTTTAGGTCAGGGGTTGTAATAACAACAGAGTGCCCAATGTACAACAACTCACCAGCAGTTACTGATAGCAGTTACAGGAAATGTAGTAAAAGAAATACTGGACTATAGATATTTTAAAATGAGGTATGACCCTCTCTTCAATTCTTAATTGTGCTAAAAAACTATTTCAAACGAGACTGTGCCTGTTTTGGAAAATGTTTTTTATCGAGTCACTTTCTCCTTTAGGTTGAAGGCAGCTGCTTCTTCTCAGAGATGTGCTGACAGAGGAGGAACAGGCAGCCAGTAAAGTGACTTTTCATTCAATTTAGTCTAAATCAGTCTTATAATTTCCTTTTCCCTCAACTAGATGGAGCCATTTCCGACTGACAGTGAAGGACACTTTCTCTCTTTTATCTCATTTTTCTAAAACATCATCCATGATATTCAAACAATCCTTTGGACCCAAATGATTCCCCCTCAACAAACTCCTTTCTAGTTTATTGAACTTTTTACTACAACACAATGGTTCACACACAATACAGCATAGTCTACAGTCTATATATACAGAAATTTTGCACTGTGATTCTTCACATAATCATGTTGACGCTACAGTACTGGCATACAGAAAAAAATCAAACAAACATTTCTTTAACAAAGTTAGCGTGTACCTGTCTTTTGCATTTTACTATGTCATGGCACACTGTTTTACTTACAAGATTAACAATATATAGCACAGAAATTTTAGATATGTTGAAATCAGACAGTGGAACAGCAGGTGACAATATAGTACACGTTCCCCCTCCTTTAAAATGATTTATTACATTTAAAACATGATGTCAAATAGAGGGTCTGCTTGGACACATACAGTGGGGTCTGACCAGGGTATGGCTGAGGGATTATTTTGTTTTGGATGTCATGTGCTAGGCTGGAAATGTTATGTATGTATAAAATGATGTTATTCTTGCAATATTGGAGTCATCATCCCGTTCCCCTGCTAAGCCTCGAAGAACACACACTGACCTGATTGTTCATCTGCGATCACAGAGTTGGAAGTTGATGAGGAAGGTGGTGGTGGTGGCCTGTGGTCGCTGTGATTGTGAATGTGAATGTGAGGCCCTGAGATGTTGTTAATGCCAGAAAGAACATGAGACCGAGCGGTGCTGTCATGAATGAGGACTGAGGATCATACTGAGTTCCTACCTGGGCAAAAGTAGTAATCTAATGTAATCCACTGAACTTTCCACAAAGTATATAAAATTAAAGATTTTGTTACTCAAATAGAAACAGGGCGCAATAAAAATCAAAGCAACCGAATCAGAGACACTTTGAATGGAAGTTAAATGTCTGGTCATAGTCTAAATACGAACTATAAATGGAAATCCAAATCTCTAACAAATTCATATTTAAGTCATTTATTATGTTTAGGCACATTTAGCTTGAAAATACTGTTCACCTTGCCTTTTCATTTGACCCAGGTTGTTCTGCGTGTTTTCTTTAACACTTCTCTGCTCTAATCTGACCTTTAACCTCAAGGACTCAGTCAAACACATCCGTCTCTTCTTCACCCACCTCAGTCATGCTGCATTCTTCTATCCTGATTGGCTGGTCAGGTTTTCTAAGAGAAGAATTACATCACGACCCGACAACAATCTCTAACCTTCTGTCAAACTGTATGTCCATGCCAGACTGGTGGCTGCTCAGCTGGGGCTTGTTTACATTCAACACTCCCAGATTATCGGAGTCCTGAGGGACCTCCTTACAAAACACTGAATCCAGTCTTTAAGTTCTGAGATGTTATTAAACGGCTGTTTAAAAATCCAAATTTTGAAAAGGCAGGTGAAGTATATGAAAATTAAGGAACATTTGAATATCAATATAGTATATTTCTCGTTTGACAGTGAACCTGACACTATCTGACCTGCCCTGATGTGGTGAACCCAGACTTACAACTATTGTTGTACTAAAGTTGCAACTTACTCTAGAAACTCTAAGATGCGGCTTGTATTTAGCATTTGAAAAGGTGATATCTTAGTATACTGTGATGAATGTATAATAAGTAGCTCTAGAGGTAGTAATTACAAATGTATGCACATGACAGCGTGTTAGTTTGATCACGAGAAAGCATCTCTTATTAAGGCTCGGTAAGAAGACTCAAGGTGTGGGTGCAATGCAGGGAGGGAGCCACATTAAATGGATACGGGCAGCATTACCTGAAGTTACAATGGTGTCATACAGCTGCAACATCACAGTATCAAAGCAATTACAAAAGGTTTCCTCTACACAGCCCCAGTCTGGGCTGAGTGTCCCTCACACATTCTGCATCTGATGTCCTCTTCTCTGAAAACAAAAACTAGACCCAGACGTGGTTTTTGTCATTTTTCCTGTGATAGAGCCACAGCAACCCAGTGTTGGACTCAAACTTAGATGAATATATAAAATCTAAAGCACTAAGACCAGGATCAGGATTAAGGGAAGCCAGCTCTGTCTTTCTGTGACATCTGTCAAAGTCGATCAGACGGTTCACTCACAGCATACCAGCTCCTGAGTGGAATCATGACACATGCAAAGATTTGAAAGCTAACCCGCTAAGCGACATGCATGCAGAGTGTGGGTCTTCTGTTACAAGCTGGCGTTACACACTATACTCTTATTTACGACAGAGAAAAAGGTCATGTCTGCCTAAAGTATGTCATCCACATGATGCCCTTAAGAATATGTGTGTAGGGGACGGTGGAGCTGTGCATTCCCACAAACAGTTGCTGGTCGAAAACCTCTACTGGAGTATACAGCACTATTATTTACAACATGTATGTACTAAATAACCAGGGATGGAGTCAGCCCCACTCCAGTTCAAACACCTCAATCAGCATCAGTGACATCTTTTCACACGTTGTCATTAGTGGTGCAAATTCTATAATAAAAAAAAAATCTGATTTCATGTATTTCCTTGACTAGCTGAACTGGAAGGGACAGGACCCCAAACCTGAGGATGAGAGCGGTCACCATATTGGGGGGGTGGGGGGTGGTGGTGGTTGGGGGGTGGTGCTTCATCTAGTTAGAGGACTACAGGGCTACAGATCTTCATCGTCATCTTCATCAGTGATGCAGTGGAGGGGAGACAGGCTGCATGCAGATGGGAGGGGAGGGTCCTTGGATCGGTACAGTGTTTGGTCATCTTCTGGAGAAAGACAAAGGGAGAAAGTCATCATGAAACAGAAATGTTAGTGTTGCCCTCTAAATGAAAAAGATGTTACACAGCGATTTTCAGGGATTTTCAGTTCTAATTTTTCTTTAAAAAAAAAAAACATTAATGGAATTTACATCACTGCTGCTGTGTTTTTAAAAACTGCCATCATGTTTTGGACTGATTCTCATACGTCCATGATACCATACCATTTTTTATGAAAATCATCTTGTGTGGATTAAAATCTGCATAAGATACTATAGGTGACCCATCACAGAAAACAGTTTTAGTTTTAGTTGTATTATCATTGTGGGTACAAGAAAAACCTTTCTGATTGCTACAAATCTGAAGAAGAAACAAGAATTAATGAGTTATGTCAATCAAACATCAAATTTAGAAAACAATATTCAAACATGGAGACTGTAAAAAGGATCATGCGATTTTGCAGCCTCAAATGTCAAACTGTCCATGAAAGCAATTAAAAAAAAAAGCAAAAAAAAAAAGAAATTAAACTAGATTACCATACAACAGTTAAACTTTGACATTTGTGATCTTTGTGAACATGACTGTTAACTGTGATGGACTGATGAGGTCAAACAAGGTGAAAGACAGAATCACTCAATTCATCACACAATGAATTGAAATGTAGGTGATTTGTAGTTAATGTGCAAAACCATTTTTACACTTCAAGCAACCGCACTGATGAAGAAGATTTCAAAGGGTGTGTGTGTGTGTGTGTGTGTGTGTGTGTGTGTGTGTGTGTGTGTGTGTGTGTGTGTGTGTGTGTGTGTGTGTGTGTGTGTGGTCCGTTACCATGGCATTAACTTGCAGCTGTCTCCTGCTGAATGATGTAGTGCCTGTTTGAATCATCCACCTCGCTGCCACAGTGAACATCACTCCTGTTAATGACACAAACACAACACTCAGTATACAACCAAATCTATTATTATTATTCACTGTGTGTAAAACTGCTTTTGGATGCTGGATTTAACATCAGTCCCATGAAGAACAGAAGCCAAACTGACACGTCAATTGAACACCAGAATTTTCATTTAATTTTTTTCTCTAATATTGTGAAAGCAGGTGAGCTGTTAACTTAGTCTTAAGTTAGATAAAGTGACCAGGAACAAGAAGCATCCTAAGCTTTCTGTTCACTGACTTCCTCACCTGTTGTCATTGATGTCTCTTGTTTCACTGATGCTGTTACCTGTTGGAAACAAAACAACGGTTTGATTTCATTGATTTATAAATGCTATAAATACTAATATTACTTTAGTAATACTAATTACTATTATTCCTGAATGAATGAATTGATACCATAATGTAATAATTGATTGTAGAATGTATTAAAGAATGTCCACACTGATATAAAAACAAGGAACCACATACTGTGCACACATGTCAACATTAGTGTGCATACAGGCACATGTGTGTTCTTTTACTTACCGTTGTCAATGTTGAGTGGGTAGGACTCCAGTATGTCTCCATTATATCTGCCTGCTCTGTAGCCCAGTGCTGTGGAGACTCTGGAAAACAGAGAGAAAACAGACACGCAGTCAAACACCAGCACAGTGTGTGAATGAAGATGACTCGTCACATCCTAATAAAGGCAGATATGCATTATACACAACTGGTCCATGTGATATAGTATGTCTGCTCTCCTTACAGAAAAATGTTTGTGATGACACCAAAACATGAACCTGACTTTAAACCCACAAACAGCCTGGCTGGAGAAGTTGGAAGAAAGGATTCAAACTCACGTGTTGCTCTGGACAGAGTTGGGGTTGCAGTTGACGCTGGCGGTGCTCGGCTGTGTCATGTTGCCCTGGAAGAGGGCGTTGCTGTAGGTGTTGGCGTGTTCAGTGGCACGGATGTAAGTGTAGAACGGGTTCGTTGGCGAGCAAACTGGCAGCTGCTTTGGTCTCACTGGCTTGGCTGTCAGGGTGATAAAATGATGTAAGACGGGGTTGGACTGTAATGAAACTGGGTCACTGTATAAAAGACAAACATCCTGGAATGTGTTGCATTTCAGGCATTTTCCTTAATGACACAAACAAAAGCATAAATCAAACGATGGAGCTTCACTTCAGTACCTATCTGTGCTGCATGGGGGCGCCGCAGGCCATTCTTTGCTCTCATGGCATCCTTGATGCGGTCGACCTCCTGCTGATAGCGGCGGCGGTCCATCATAGCGCCCTCCTTGGCGTCCCTCAGTGCAGTCTCCAGGGCCTTAACTCTCTCAGCAGTAGACCGAAGACGTTTCTCCAGCTTTGGAAGCTCACAACGCAGATCTGCATTGTCACGAACCAGCTGGAGCGGTGAGAGGAGAGAGAGAGAGAGAGAGAGAGGGGAGTGAAAACTGAACTATTACTAAAGTACAACATTTAAAGTTCGAAGATGCTAAGTTGAATCAAAACACACAAAAGCCACTCAGTCACAGTATTATGATGCAATATAATTTAATCACGTCTAGTTTTGTCTTCACCTTCACCAGCCACAAAGAAAAATACATTCAGTGTGGGGCAAAGAAAAGAACGACGCCATCGACTTATGTCACAAACACACTGTGGGTTTGGACACACTGTAGTTAGTTCAGTCAGTGTTTAACGTATATTTTATGTTTTTTGTGCAAGTAGTTGGCAAATGATCCTGCTGAACTGCTGAATGTCTTGGAATGAAAACACTGAATGAATTTCACCGTCTCCAGATCTGTAGATGTGAACAGTTCAAACGTCAGTAAAAGTTACAGTGTCTCTGGTTCTTTTTGTGATTGTCTCACCTGTTTGTGAACCTTTGTAAGTTGGTCCAGGTTATTCTCAAGAAAGGAAATCTTCTGCTTCTGGGTGCAAGACCCCCCGCTATCATCAGGCTCCATTTCGGAACTCTGCAAAGGAGATGAGAAAATGAAACAGAGAGCTGTGTGTGGGAAGAAGTTTTCTACCACTCTACTGGCAGAGAGCGACTGTAACACCTGACCCGTTCATAAAGACCAGAGAAGTTCTGAAACTTCTTGCTCTCAAACTCACTTTTGAGTCATTGTGGAACAAAACCTTCCACCTTAATATTATTCACATTAATAATAACCTGACCTTGACCTTCTACATCCCTCTCAACCCACCTACTCAGCTTTTCAACAGCTCAGTGATGGAAGACAAAAATGAGAAGCGTAAATCCATTGCTAGAGTTATTATTAGAGACATATAATACATCCTTTATTCCACTATTCTACATAAAAAGTGAAGTCATGTGTCACATACATGATATCAAAAAGTCCAGGGAGTAAGAGGGATGGAGGAACGTTATTTCTACTGAGGTTGATCAGGGAGTAATAAAGAAAGCTGCTTACTTTTTTAACCCGCGACGTGAGGTCTTGAACGAACAGCTTGCGCAGGTTGTGAAGGGTCTGGAGTTCGCGGGCCTGGAGGACAGACAGATTGGGACGAGGTTAAGAAGACAACTCTGGACACTGTGAAATGAGACAAAGGTTACACAAACAGAAGGAGAGCATACTGAAGTAAGACAAGACAGCAAGGGAAGAGGAAAGAGAGAGACACAGCAGGGGACAATGTCTCAGAGGAGAAGCAGGCAAATGGATGAAGGTGTATATTTTACTCACGACAGTCTCCTCCAGACCCTTCAAGTCCTGTTTAGTCTGCTCATGACGTTCATGCAGGAATCTGAGGGAAAAAGCAACACTGTTGTTTTAAACATGAACTTCAGAGGTAGACTGGACTGTTTCAAGTCACTCCTCCAATATTCTATATCATCAATAGAAATGATCACGAAAACCATCAACATGTTCTGACTCTTATCTGTGTTATCAGAGAACATGTTCCTCCTAACACTCACGAGAGCTCCTCCAGGCGCTCGCTCTTGGTGCTGTCCTGACTCTTCAGGCGTTCAAAGTCAGCACGAACCTGAGCCAGCTCCAGCTCCAACTTGGAGTTCCGACTGGAGGAATGAAGTGATGACACATGTTCAGGAGGAAGAGAAAGGGAGGAGTTTAGATTGAAATGAATACACAACAAACTTGTTTAGGTTACAGATAACAGGTAAACTTCTGAAAAGATATCTATAATAATAATGATAATAGTATATAATGATTAATAACAACAAATGATGCCACGTGTGGTATCTTTGTGTAAACACAACGGACTCAGTCAGTTCATCGATGATCCTCTGCTTCTCATTGATCTCATCCCGCAGGCGGGTCAGTTGCTTGTGATGAAGGCCGCGGTGAGACTCTCCCTGCTGACGAACGGCCTTTTGGACGTGAAAAGAGCAAACACACAGAATCTCTTAAAAGGTTCTGGCTACTGCAGTAAAGCCTTGACAACTAAGGAAGTAAAATAAAAAGCCACATGGGGTGTGAGGTTATTGTGTGGAACAACAGATGTTGAGAAAGCTCTCTGTTAAGCAGACACAATATGAGGGGACAGATGAATGAAGGCACAGGAGATGTAAGAGAGGTATAAGGTGTGAAGAGAGTCTGGTCCTAACAATAAGAACTTTTCATGTGTCCCAGTCTGGGCTGACAGAATCTCAAGTAATATATTCTTACCTTCACATTTCCATCCTCAGTCTCACCCTTCTCTGCATCCTTCTCCTCAAGCAGGGAGTTATCTGGAACAAGGATAAGAGAAAGAAAGCATTCAAAGTTACAATGTAAAAACAGCTTGAGGCAAAATTCCCAAGAAATCTATAAAAGGTTACAGTACCGTCTTTTTGTACTCGCATATTAATTCTGTAACTGTGTTCATATTTTTTGCAACAGTATTTTTGTGTGTGTATTACCCTGGTCCTGCAGCTTGGCGAGCTCTTCACTCAGGGAGTCGTGGCTCTCCTCCAGCAGCCTCTTCTTCTGCTCCACGCTCTGCATGTACTCCGTCAGAGAGCGGATCTTAGCCTCATGCTGTACAAACACAAACACCCACATAAAATATAATCCATATTCACTTTTTTCCCCTTTATTTCTCATCCATTCCTGCTCACCCAATCATCCATCCATGACCTATGTCTATAAGATAAAAAAGAACTACCCTCTCGTGAACATCTGGCCCATTAGTCAAATCACAAGTGACATGCCTGGGCATTATTTTAGAATTCACTTCAGACTTTACTTCACACATAAAGAAGGTTTTTATCACTTCAGAAATATCACCATCTTTATAGATTGTTCCTGATCTATAAAGATGCTGAAAAATTTCTTCATGCTTTTATTTCAAATAGATTATTGAAATGCTCTTTTTACTGCTCCTCTGAAGCAGGCAATATGAGCACACACTGCAGACTCTGTGGTTTTATTATCCTTCACCAGCTCTCAGATCCTCTACTGTCAGGCTTTTAGATACACACAGTTCTACACACAAGAAAATATGCAGTGCAGCTTTTTTTTTACTATGACCCAGAACTATGGAAAACCTGCCAACAGCTGTAAGAGATGCTCTGTGAACATTTTTACATGACAACTGAAAACTTATTTCTTTGCTTTTAATTAATTCCCTCATACTTACATACAACTATTCTTACTGGTTCATGTTTTTAATTTACATTTTATCATCTGCTATCTTTCTATTGTCTATTTTTATTGCGCTTCAATCCGCCCTTATTTTATTGTACTATTGGATTTTTTTAAACATTTTTTCATTTTTATTGTAAAGCACTTTGAGCTACATCTCTTTTATAAAAAGTGCTCTATAAATAAAGTTTATTATCATTATTATTATTATTATGTTTCTCTCTTCCTGTCCCTGTCCCTCTGTCCTCACCTGAGAGATGAGGAGCTGGCAGGAGGAGAGCTCCCTTCCAGTCTCCTCCATCTTGCGGTGGCACTCCAGCTGCATGTTCTCCAGCTGGCGGCAGCGCTTCACCATGCTCTTCACCTCTGACTTGATCTTGCTGATGTAGAGTCGAGCCACAGTGAACTCCTCCTCGATCGCACCGCTGATCTCCACCGGCTGCAGATTGGAGGAAAAATGAAGGTTTCCCCACAGTCATGTGTGACACAGCAGGACATACAGGAAACACATGAAGAACACACACTCTTGTGTGTTTTATAATGTACCTATATGTAAATGTTGCCCTCTAATCCCACTTACCAGCTTGATCTCCCCGTTGCCCACGATGGTGCTGAACTCGCTGAGGTCCCTCATCAGACCATTGAGGACGTCAGCGATACGTTTCCTCTGCTGACCACTCACTTCCTGCATACGGGACAGCTCCGCCTCCAGCTCCATCAGGCTGGCCTGTTATACAGAAACAGACATTAGTGAAGATAAGACCACAATGTTTAATATAGATCCGGATCTCACAATACGCTCACTTGGTGATGCAGGGCATCAGATTCATGACCCCTGATTTATGGCCATTTAAAATAATGAAGTTGCTAGCACCACCTATAGGCAAAGTAACATTTTTGCATATTGCAGGATCAGAGTAGATGCACCCGTCAACTAAATTTGATTGCAGCTATTAATATAATGTCAAGAATTATGGGATCTCATATTATGACACACCTAAAACAAAATACAGTATTACTTAGAAAAAAAGAAATTCATATTTATGTGCCACATTTGGTAAAAAAACAGAAAAGACAGAATCCAACTAAAAAACATGATGAGACTAAAAACTGCTTGGGCAGAGGCGACGAGCTGAGACTAATGTAAAAAGGTGTGTCTAGTGGTTTTTCTCCAGAATCTGATTTACATGTAATTCCTGGTACTGGTCTCCATGGTGATACTTCTGCCCCTCCTCCTCTCTCTGATTTTATCTCATTCTGTCAATTTCACATTCACAGCATTCCTCCTCAGATGTACCATTTTCTGGGCCAGCTGGTCGGCCAGCAGCTGGTTCTGCAGGCCTTTCTCCTCCACCTCCAGGCTCTTCTGGTCATAGTTGATGGCCAGCTCCTCCAGAGCCTGCAGCACCTCCTTCACCTCCGCCTTGGCGCAGTCGCTCTCCACCTGCAGCCTGCCCAGTTCAGCCTGGACCTTGTCCCCATCCCCACGGGACGAGGCCAGGAGCTGGAAGGAGGGAAATGTGGTGTGTTGACTTCACTTTGAAAATGTTCTTATTTTCATGAACTGAATGTTTGAGTTCTCACAAGACAGTGCAAGTGTGTGTGTTTGTGTGACTTTGTGTATGTGTGTAGTTTGCATTTACCCACCTCATCCTGGTCTAGCATCTGCTGCTTCAGTTTCTCCACCAACTGGCACTGCAGGTTGATCTCGTCATCCTGTATAAATCATATACATTCTCATATAAATTTGATTATAAAACTTGAATTTAAAAGAACTATAATAATAAATAACATCTGCACTTACACCTTTCAATAGAGATGGAATTACAGTCGAGCTCATTTGGAAAATTGAGACCTGAGTTGTGTTGAATTGGTAATAATGATCATGTTTGTGTGTTTGAACCTTGTCATCCAGCTGCTTGTACAGCTTGCGGATCTCCTCCTCGTACTTCTGACGCTCCTCCTCAGAAATGCGGACCACAATGGAGGAGGTGTCATTGTCCAAAATGGGGCGCTCCTCCACTGACTCAAACCGGGTCACCATGTCCGATGTAGTCCGCTCCGTCTCAGGGACATCCTCTCCTGAAGTCATGGATGAAGGGACAAACAGGACATAGAAACAGGACATGAGAACCATGCTATTTTGTTTACACAGTGAGCAGAGATGAGTCTCTGCTATGCTGCCGAAAACAAAGCTTCTCCTGGAAGTCAGTCAGTCAGAAAACGCTCAGGGCAACTCACCATTTCTCCAGCGGTTGAGCTCGGCCTCCAGCTTCTGGATGGTGTCCTTCAGGGTCTTGTTCTTCTCCTTCTCCTTCTCGTACTTCCTCTTCCACTGCTCTGCTGTCAGCTCCAGGTTGACGGAAGCAGTGTTCCTGATGGTCTTAGCACTGTGTCAGAGGAAGACAAAGACAGAGAGACAAAGAGGGACAATGTGAAACTATTTTTAAGTGATTAAGACAAAGACTGACGCTGTTTCAGTAACAGTTCTACTGGATCATTTGCCCAAGAACCAGTTTTATGTTGGTTCCAAGGTCACCTGACATTTGAGTGTGAGAGGTCTCACTCAAAACTCTTCACTGTGTTCCTACTTGTACAGTCATCACTGAACGTGACATAACGAAGGGCGCAGTGTAAATGAATCTGCCTTGTCTGGATTTTATTAGGCCACACCCAATCTGGGTCAGCATCCTGCTCTGAGGGAAAAATATCATCAGTGTGACCTCTGATAAAGATGTGGCAGCATGTGTAGAAGTAAAAAGCACATTTTCTTTTCAAACATGCTTTGACTTTTATCCACAGATGTATCTACCGTTGGCCAAACATGAGAGTGGACTTGGTCTCGGCGTCGTTGTAGCTGGAGGGAGAGCAGCAGATGAACATGGTGGTGCGACAGTTCCCACCGAGGGAGTCCTGCAGGATGCGGGTCATTTTGCTGTCACGATACGGCACGTGAGTTTTCTGTAGGAGAGAAGAGGAGCAAGGAAGAAGGGTGGAGAGGAAGAGGGAACAGAAAGAAGGGAGACGAGATCAAGATCGAGATCGAGAAACAATTTGGAACTGAAGAGAAGAGAAGAAATGTTTGAAGTGTGTTTTGTTTGCCTCCTGATTTTGTGCTTCTGCAGAGATTCATCAGCAGATTATATTTAGCAAAAATTAGCACGTTCCCATTCCTCTCGATTTCTCCATTTTGGATTCTTACAAACCCCACAACTGCTGTCAAAAGAGGCAGATTGATTGTGCCGCATCCAACTAATCTTATAATTGGAAGTGGCGGTTTTTTGCTGTTGAGTTGGCGGAGAGGAAAGAAGGGTGTGGGCATTTCATTAACAAGCCAACAGGAGGGACAAAGCTACAGTACATGAGCGTTAGAAATGAGACAGAGCAGCTATATTATCTGGACTAGTTGTAGAAATGGGAATTAAATCTGTTTCAGTTTATTTAAAATCCCCAGATTCTACACATAAATCAAGCTTCAGTTGTTGGAAAGGTAAATATATTTCACTTAACCTAAAAATGAAGAACTATATCAAACACAATTTTTACTCTATTGTCTAGTAAAAAGGAGGGCAGTTGGGTGGAAATGTCTCACCGTGCCCTCAGCCAAGGCAGAGATGACATTTCCCAGAGCAGAGAGAGACTTGTTGATGTTTTTCGCTTCGTCCAGAACGGCTCCTGCAGCTCCCGTCTTACTGACCTGTATAAAGACGAAGACAGAGACAGTGAAGTCAAACATGATGCACAGCTGAAGAAAGACACAGAAACACAGATGAAGTCAATTGTCAATAAAAATAGTCAATAAAAATAAAAATAATTCAGTTGATTCATTTGAAGCAGGAGAATCACAGGTTGGGAGTGTCTCCCACCTTCTCGCTGCCAGCCAGATCCACCAGGTAAAGTTTTCCACACAGCTTCTGCTCCGTCTCCACGTGCTCCTGCTTGATGTTGATCAGGAAGATGCTGTGGCTGCGAGAGCTGTGCTCGTTCATGTCTGTGCAAAGACAGAACCAGAAGCAAACAGCTCAGAACTTTACATACAAACTTCTGGTGTTAAAAACGTTTTTTAGAGGGATAAAGAATTCACAAACGAGATCTGATCAAACTTTGGCTTTTCAGAAAAAATGCCATGAACGTTTTCTTTTATTTATTTTTCCTCCAAAGGTTGCCTATGTACCAGGAAAAAAACATTATTGTCACAATAGAATCAGAATGAAAGAGAGACAACAACTAACTGTCTGTAATCAAAGTGATTTTAACTCAAAAATAATGACGTATTGACATCTTTGTTTCACAAAACATAAAGACTTTCTCCTATTCAATATCAGCAGGTTTTCTGATTTTCACTCTGAAAATACTAGATTAATTTGAGGTCATTTATGTGTGGATTTAAAGAGAAGTATGAAATGTTCAATGTCCGCAGCGGACTGACGTCACTTTTTCTCAGTGCAGATAAAAAATAGCTCTGATCTAAACGCCTCTCTTCATTGGACTCCTCACAGACAGAAAGTTCAGGTTTCTCTGCAGATGATATCTGAGGACATCAGCTTTGTGTCTGCAGAGTGTTGCGCCACTAGTCTGCTATCAGCACACTGTTCTGCAGCAGTGAGTCAGCAAGCATCAGTAGGAAACAGAGAAGATGGTGCTGCCTGGGAACACAGCTTTCAGCAAATCTGATCTGCTGCTGTCAACATTCAGTCCATTTTCAAGGCTGGATTGTTGTATAATTTGATTGTTATCACATTATTACCATTAAAAATCTTAAGATTACTTCTGCTCTACAGAGCAGACTTCCTTTAAATATGGATGATTATTACACTTCTTTAAAAGAGATAACATTTATCTAACTTTCCAATTAATAAGCAACATGTCCATCATCTCTCCCACAAAACACAAGCCCACACAATCCTCTGGTTCATAATATACACACATGGCTGTTATACAACCCCATTACAATCACAGTGTTTACTTGGACTCGTAACAAACAAGCAGAATTTTATTTAGAAAGTTAGTTTCACTCTGACCTGTGATTGGTCTCACTGGCTCATTACCTGCATGCTGAGACCATAATATGCAGATAAACCACAGTGATGAAGGTAAAGGTGATTAGGACTCTCACTGAGAAGCAGGAAATAGTAATTACTTTATGATTGAACTACTAGGAGCTGGTGAATGGCAACTGTAAAATAAAATATCACATCATAGATCTAAACTTGGACAAACAGCTTTCTGCATAAAGGGCTATGAACTCTGGAACACATCACCAACTGAATTCAAATGAACTCCAGACATAGATTCATTTACAACAAGGGTTCAGTGTTAAAACAAACCAGAGCTGTATTCATTTCTAGTTAATTGTATCTTTTGTTAATTGCCTTTGTTTGAGTATTTGTAGCTTGTGTTGTTTTCTCTCTTTTCAGACTTTTACTAATTGTAGGATATTATCAATTGTGTTGTTTTAGCTATTGACTGTTTTAATGACATTATACATGTAAAAGCCCAACTAGGGACAGGAGTGGAGAATTAAACAGCTATAAACTCTTTGAGAAACAGATTATTATCATGCCTTGTTTTGTCTCTATCAACTAAGCTAAACTAAACTAACTCGATGATGGGATATATTGGTTTCTGTGGTGTTTGCGGTTCATAAAAATAAGAAATTAAACAAGTTTGAGTTTCTATCATCAAAACAGATTTTGTGTTGCAGAGGCCTACAATATTCGAAAAGACAAAAATACAAAAAATAACCTCCCCTGAGATCCATCTGAGCAACAAGGCAGTATATTCATTGATTAGTGTTGATTAGTGTGAATCAACTGCAAACAAATCAGATGAGCTTTGAGATTCTCAACAGAAACACCAGGACTGCTTCAACCCGCTCAGTTAATGCTTTATGTGCCTCAGTGCTCTCTGTGTGGGTTTGTTCTCACACCAGATTTTCTGTGACATTTTCAAGACATCACTCATTTGTGTCATTATAAATCATCTGTGCTGCAGGACCAGCTGTGTGTACATTGCTAAAGTGTTGTCTAAAATAGAGATACATTGAATGACTTACATTATGTTTCATTGCTAATGAATTAGGGTAAAAACTGTTAACTAAGTACATGGTTATCTCATTGAAATTTAATGCAAACAAAGTTAATTTAGAGAAAGTTCCTAAATGAAAACAGGTATATTTCCACATGTAAAACACAAACCATCGTCACAGTTGTTTAAAAATTCTTATTTGCTTAAAAATGGTTTTCACTGAGTAGTGTCATAAGCGGGTTACCTGGTAATTAGGTCACATGTTCTTTAGCTGCTGCTGTGCATTATAATGACGTTTTGTTTAATGCAGCTAAAGCATCACTCTGACCTGTAAACCTGCAGCACTGGAGCCATTAGTCTGATGTTATTACTGAGCCAAAGAGGACTGAGTCGGCAGCTCGGAGGCCAAAACAGAGAGCAGGAAGCTTTTATTTTTATAAAATCAATTACTGAAAACTGCTCTGTCACAAACCGGATTATTAGCCTGAGATAATGGCTGTGGGCAGACATGTTGTAATGCTTTGTTATTTTCTCCAATTCCACAATAACTGTCCTTCACTGCCAGTCACAATACGGTGAACTCCATCTGACAGGAACTCATTTATTTTCTTGAGAATGACTGAAGCTTGAAAATTATATCACACTGTAACATGAAGATTACATAATAAGACACAATAACGGGCTACATGAACTCAGCTGTCAGTTCTCCCATCAGTAACGAGCTGGGAGTGCTACTGCCACCAACAACAAACCACCACTGGATCTCCTGCTTTACTGTACCTTTATTCAGCTCAAATGTTTCACTATAGATATTTGTCTATTGGGTTGTTTTGTTTTAAATACAGAGCAGAGCAATTTTAGCATAAAGCTACAACATAACGAAATGTGAAAAAAGTGAAGGTGTCTATACTTTTTCCGATGCACTGTATACTGTGTTAAAACAATCAGATTTCTTTCATGAATTGTAATGTTCATGTATTGATGTACATTAAATTCTGTGATGCAATATCAACAGTTGAAGGTAAAGACTCACTGGTCACAGCAACATGACGGTTCGCTTTGCCCTCGTCAATCACATCCATAACCTCATCAGGGCTGGAGACAAAACGCTCAGTGCATCCCTGAGACAGAATATGAGACAGATGTCATATCAAGGATGTGATGCAGCCTGTAGACAGATTTTCACCTTAAGCACTACTTTCCACAAACCTTGACATATGGCACCCTATTCTTATCTTCATGCACAGACAGGTTGGTCTTTGTCACTAAAAGTAGAGAGAAATTAGACTGATGAGTACTTTTCACAAGTATTAGGAAGCATCAGAATAGAGTATGAAAAAAATCAGTGGTTACACAGGAGCTACATTACGTTCATTGTATATCACAGTCTGGAAAATCAAAATACTGTTGGTGGTGATTCATGAAGAGTTTATCAGCACTAACCATCCAGCAGGTCACGGATTTTGTCCATATAGATTTCAAAGTAGGAAACCTGTTGGGGAAGAAAGAAAATGATGGAGCCAAAATAAAATAACATTGAAATGTTTTATAGCATTGACAGGAGATGCAAGTTAAATTATTATTTGACTGGTCTGAGATAAAACTACATTTGTTGTTTCTGCAGAAACGTGATCACAATAGAAAAATGTGATAAAAAAACTTTTTTAAAAGGCAATGTTCAAACACAAACCAACACAGCTGAACATAAGAAATAAAAAACAGACATTTACTCATCAAATACCTTTATGTGGAATTCAAGGTTTTCATCCATAGCAAAGATGTGGTTGAAAATGTCCTCAGCAATGCGTGGAATAATACCCATCTGGTGAGGGTCATGGAGCTTCCCCTGCAGCAGGAAGTCACACATAAATGTATCAGTAGGTGTGAACGGGGACTTCACGCAATAATGCCATTAGATTCTCATCACAGGTCTATTCATTCACAGGTTTGGGAGAATAAAGAGAAAATTCTACCCTATCCAAATATCTAATCAACAAACTATAGTCTCATTAAAAAACAGAAACCCAGTGTTGGAGGAGGAGCTAATGGGTCAGTTGGGGCAACATTCAAATCAAATTTTACACAGGTTCTGCATGTTGCTTCAGTTACATGTTTGCAGTACACGATAAAATCAAGGTTCATTTGAAGAAAGTGTTTATTGCTTTGCAAACTGCACCTCCATGGTGTGAGTCTTCCCGGAGGAGGTTTGTCCATATGCGAAGATAGTGCCATTGTAGCCATACAGCACATCTGAGTCAGAGAAGAACAACAGTGAAAGCACAGCACATGCATTTTAAGATAACTTGAAGTATTTTGAATGCAGCTATCCATCTGTACCCTTGACAATCTGCTTGGCGCAGGTGTTGTACACCTGCTCCTGGGTGGTGTTGGTTGGAAACACTCGGTCAAAGACATAGGACCTCCCCTGTGAACACCATGAACAGCAACCAACAGATTAACAAAAGGGACATAAGAGAGAATACAGTTGTTTATCACCAAATTGTTTTCCAATTTTCAGTTTTCAAATAATAATTTTTAATAATAAATAAATAATTTTCTTGCAAAACAATGAAAATTCATTAAAAATGTCCTACAACTTACTACTGTGAAGTAATTTGAAATATTATCTGACACACAATCTGTAAAAAAAAAACAAAAAACAAAAATGATATATTTTTTTGAAATAATTTATTCTCCAACAGCAGATCGTGTGTAGCTTTGAGAAATGATGTCATCCCTGTGAGGTGGTCAGTGGCTTGAAACTGACTGACTCATCCTCACATACCTGACCAAAAAAATACGAAGAATAAGATATACACTCATCTAAAACCTTTAAATGTCACCACTCTTAGGAAAACACATATTTATGCAGTGTATTTATGTAAGGCAACATGTTGCTGTTGTTGTGTGAAAACATAAAAAACAATCTTCCTTTTCAATCCTCTTCCACTCTTCGGAAAAATGTTACAACAACATTGAAGTTAAAAACAAGCCTGTTTTTTGAGTTAAATGGCTTTCAGATGACACAAAACACAAATTGATATTAGGTATGCTGTTATTTATAATTCATTGCTGATGAAAACTGCTGAATGAAATCAACCAAGATTTAAAAACATGAGAGACAGCCTTGATTTTAACTTTGATGACACTTTAATTAAGCCAAAGAGCCACAGAGGAGCATGTAACTCACCTCAGGTTAAAACATAAAAATGCTTTAGTATTACTACCAGTTTTATGGATGGTTTGTTCAACGCTGGTTTATCTCCCTGACAGTAAATGCACAACAAAAAGGATGAGATCAGCAGAGAGGGAGAAAGCCAGTTCTCCCAGCTAGTCAGAGCCATATTTCATCCAGTACCTGGCAACATCACACAATGGATCAAGGTCATTAGAAAAATGCTCTTTCTCCTTTGCTAGCTTATTACCTAACAAATTCAAAGGAACCAAAGTCATATGAAAGACAATACAGACCTTTCATTAGTAGCCATGTATCCAGTATGTAGCTATTATTACCAGCTCTCTGCTGTGCCCCCAGGTGTAGGTACACTAGCATCTGTAACAGCGGGTTTTCTCATAGACCATTAACATACATCAATACTTACTTCTGAGCAATTATTTTCTTAGTATTCAACAATTACTGCACCCATGAGGCTTGGATAGGGAACCAAGACTCATTGGAAATGTTTTTACTGAGTAATAAAATAATCATTTTAACAATTTGGGAAATACCCTCAATCACTTTCTCACTAAGAGTTGTAAAGAGTTGCTGCTACAGCCAAGACATTGTTAGCTTAGCTTAGTTCAGTTTAGCACAAAGTCAGGAAACACAAGAAACAAAGCCAGCCTATCAGCACCTATAATCCCATTTGTTTGATCAGTAGAAAAGCTGAAGTTGCTCCAGCAACACTTCAGTCACGACGAGGATTTTTAACCTTTAGACAAAGCCAGGCTAGCTAAACTAAGCTAAGCTAAACTAACCGCATCCCGGCTGTGGCTTTGTATTTACTGAACAGATGTGAGTGGTATTGATCTTTTCATTTAACTCTCGAAAAAAAAGCAAATGAGAGTAAGTCCCAACATGATCCTTGCTTTAAAATGACAGCATGCTGAAATATACAATCCAGTAGAGTAGTGGATTTAGAATTCATTTAGAATATGAGCAACAAACTCCTGCCACTGTTTACTGAACTGAAATTACTACAAAGCTCAATAGAAAGTGCGTAAAGACTATATATTTAATTAGTACTAAATATTGTAAACATGTAAACATTATGCTCTTGAATCTTGAGTGTGTGTATTTTCAAGAATCTCCTTTGAAGTACTGTTGAATTTTTTTTTGTCTTTTTTTTCTCATTTGTTTTCTCATCATACTCTTGAATGTATTTTGTTTATTTCAAAATGTGTCCCCCGATTAACTCAGTGTGACACACAGAAGAGTGACGCAGCCCTGACAATCCTCGCTGCAGAAACAAGGCCATTAAACCCTGAATGTCACCGTCCCATCTGATACAGAGACCACAATGCAACACAATAATGCAAGCTGCCAGAACATGAGCCGTATTAAATATCATTAACAAATTGACTCATCTGCAGACGCACCCCCATGACGGAGTGATTTCACAGAGAGAGACATTCAGTCCCAGGATGAGGGAGGGCAAGACGGAGGAGGTGAAGAAAGAGACATAAAAATGGAGATGGATGAGCAAAAGAGAAATGTTAGGTTGAGAGTCAAAGAGACAGTGACAAAAGAGAGAGAGGGAAACGAGAGACTGAGGAAAAATTGAGACAGAGAAACAGACAGACAGATGGCGACAGAGAAAAGAGAAAGCAGGTCAGTAAGTGATGTATGATGATTATTGATTCTCTCTTTAGGCAATTAGAGGAATCAGTTTCTGACTCTATTGCCCAGCGTCATGCTGAGAGGAGAGAGGAAGGTCAGGTTGGGATGTTTCCATTATCGCTGGAGGAACTTTCAACATTATTTGTCAACATTTCTCAGCCAGAAGAGAAGCAAAGCTAACTACTCTTCTCCTTGTAGCCCTCTGCGTGGTCATCATGTGCTCTGTTTATGTTTCCTTTCATCCTCTGCAGACATTAGCTCCTGGCCCAAGAATGAAACTCTAACTCTAAAGACGGACAACCAGCAACATATATAAGCAAAATGCAATTAAATCAGTTAAATGAGTAGCTATTCTCATTTCGTACAGGCTGACATGCAGACATCATTTAAAGACATTGATCTACAAGCCTGTAGAATTTATTTGACCAACAAGAGATTGGATCAAGTGACTATCCTCAATTACATCTGCACAGCAAAATCTCCACTTATCAAACCTTTTGTCTATAGATGAAACAAGTGACAATAATAAGCAGTGGGATTATTTTGGTCCGTTTCCAATAACTAGATTTTTCTAATGTGTCTATCTATTACACTGAATAAGACAGGTCCAAATCAAGAAAAATGGCATGTGATTCCAGAAAATTATTGGAAAAAAATGACTGTATTAGAAACTAACACTAAAATAAGTCCACACTGGGAAGCGTGAATAATGTGTTAATATTGTAATGAGATGGAGATATTCTGCGGTGTTGGATAAATTTTGATTATCATGACATAAATGTCTTCTTTCTTAGTTCAGACTAAGTGAAATGCAGCTTTCACAACACATAAGAGGCAGCAGCTTCAGCAGCGTTAGGCCGACACATTTAGAATTTAAAGACACTGAATTATGCACCTACATGTGCATGTAAGTGGATCTTGCCTCGCAAACATAAAATAATCCTCAGAGTGAAGGGAACATGCAGCATCATCTTATTTGGATCTGCCTCTAAACTTCAACATCCACTACAAAAACCATCACCAGACATCTGCGGCGTGGACTGTCAACATCTGCTGGGTAATACACCCACTCCAGAGCACAGGTTTGTAACCCTCATTAAGGAGAGGTTAATTAGGGGCTAATTAACTTTAACACTCAGAATGAATGAATGGACCCATCAATGTGAGCCTGGAAAACACTTTACATTCAGTAACAGTCATTTTGATGTACCTATGTAGGTTGTATTAGAGTGTGCTAATAATCAGGAGCACGACTGTCTGATTTGGGCCCACAGTAAAACACCACATACAGTTTAAAGTGTGCGATGTTAGTGAGCTGTAGCCTGTAACCCTGTTGTTAGGCAGGCTGTGGATCAGTCAGCTGATAAAGGTGCACCTCAACAACATCAGGCTCCATGTTTTTTTGCTTTGTCATCTTCTGTTAAAAACTGTTTTTTTTTTTTTTTTTGGAGGGGTGGGGTGGTATTAACATGTACTGCACCGATTATTATCCACAACCCAAACAGATGGGTCCAGCAGCTGATGGTTTATTGATGAGGGCCCTGTGTGCACAACAAAGCGCCTCCTGTACTCACCCCGACGGCGACAGTGTCGTCTCCTTGGAATTTGGGGAGAAACTGGTCCCCGCGTAAAATCTCCGACTGATTGAGAGGGCGAAAGCGACACAGCACTTTTATGTTGCACTCCGCTGGGACATCGGCCATTGCGCAGATTCAGTGAGGAGGAAGGATGCTGCTTTCTGATGGTCGGAGATGCTGCCTGGGCTGGAGGCGGACGGACTGAGAGGGGCCTGATCTGACCGTCAAAGTAAAGGACGAGGGACGCGCAGACTTCGACCTTCTTCGTCGAGAGGACTCTGATGTCGGCGGGAGGCTGGACGGTTTTATCCTAACTGACTGATGGGGGCTTTATTTATGCGCAGCTGGTCGGCGTTTCCGTGTCGCAGTGAGGCGGGCAGGCTAAATTAGATGTCAAGCGCAAAACGATGCTCTACCTACATCATTAAAACAAGAGACTCTGGTGTTGCTCGTTTTCCTCTGTGCTTTATTAGACGCAGTCTTTCTTTCTCTCTCTCTCTCTCTCTCTCTCTCTCTCTCTCTCTCTCTGTCTCGCGTTTTTCCGTTTCTTTTTCGGGTGCGGCGCTGGATGTGCGTCTGGCCGGTTGAAGGTGAGATGCTGCTGGAAGGGCAGTGAGGTAAAGCTGCTGATGATCGGCCTTCTTGGGTCGCCACAGCGCTCTCTATCGGTGGGCCGAGAAAGGGCGTGGTCTGCATCCGCCTCTTTAAAGTGGTACCCACAGCCTCAGCATCATCAGCTCAGAATCCTCACGCGCGGGCGGAAACCAGAGCTCCTTACTGCTGCGTCACATCCGAGCAGAGAGATGAAGGAGAAGTTCATTACAGCTCCTGTAGAGCGGCCTGCTGATTCAGTGACTAATCATCGCAGCCATTCTTTGGCCCCTCTCCGCTGCCTGACTGTATTTCTTGGAAGGCACAAGAAGCCATTATGGGAAGGCAGTGAGGACTATTGATTAAAAGATGAGTTCAGGCCTCACCTTTAAGGAGCTTTACAGTGTCTGATGAAGTAGGGATGATGCAGCAAAGTCACACTGAAAACTGAAAACACATTACCATGCTCATTAAAAAAAATCTCATCCTTGTTTACAATCCAGAAAGCACATAAACATGAAGGCTGCACAATAGTGAAAATGAGAAAACAAAGAAAATAATATGGATAATTATCTACATGAAACCTGATAAGAAATGAACAAAAAAAAACAAGTGTGAAAACATAACATCCTGCAGTGAGGTCAACCACTGGGATCCTGAAGGTCAATAACTCTGTACTAATAATAAATACCTTAAACGCTACTGCAGTTGCCCCTGGATTTTAGCATTGGCAGGGTAACAAGTCGAGACTGAAAACCTGAACGTCTACTACACCTGCTCACAGGTCAGAAATGACTAACTGCAGAAACTCACTACTGTTTTCATGTAGGCTCTCTGTGGACCTTGTAAAATCTATTATTTTCTGATCACTAAACAGGGTATTAGCAATTACTAATGACAGATTTGTTGATTCATTTTGTGCAACCAGGAAAAAATATTATGCAAACATCCAATATAATATATATAATTCTTATTCAACAATATGTGAGTTGCAACCAAATTCAGATACATACAGTATGAACTGCATCATAAAGTTGTTCACACCCTTTTCTGAAGAGAAGTCAACACAAGGTAACTTTTCTGTAAATAGTTTAATATTAAATAAAAAAAGACTCCCATATAAAAAAGAAAGCTACAGTCCACAATTTAATCGTCTTTTTAAACATAAGTATTGAAAGCAAGGGGTAGAATGAGAAAAATACTTAATTACAATTCCCAGAAAAAATTCACAATTCATTGTTTTCTCTCGTCTCTTCTCTAACAATATAAAATCAAAATAAAACACATTAACTGTACATATGTACAAATCTCCAAGTGTAGAAATTGCATAATCTGCTTTCTTTTTCACTTTATTTTTTAAATACAGCTAGAGATGCCAGTACTTGGGGTGGGGCAGTGTGTGGAGGAGAGCTCAAACAGTGATATGAGACAAGAGGGAGGATAGTACTTCAAATCCACAGTAACACACGGACTCAACAGATCCACGTAAGACATCATAGCTCTCTGCGTTTAAGTTTTCCAGCCATTCGTTCATACAATCAAAGGACATACTGTACTTGCTATAAACTCAGGGTTCCTGCAAATATTCTCTTTTAAAATTCAATCCAGATATTTATCTCATGGCTGGAGGGCGGTGGGGGTTTGGGTAGGTGTTGTGTCAACATATAATTAGTCTCCATCACACCACAGCTACAAGTAGTTCTTCACAGCATCAAATGAGACAGCATGTGAACTGTAAGTGGGTTATCAAAGTGGGACAAATGGTGCTCAAAGTTTTTCTGAAGTGTTCCAGATTTGTTGCGGACAATTTCAAAAACTGGGTGTGGTCAGACAAAAAAAAAACTTCATTTTTAAAATTAATGTTTTCTCAGATCATAAAACTATTGGTGACATACAAACCATTAAAAAGGAAAATCTCACGGAATGTGGAATCAAGATTAAAAAAGTGTGGCAAGTGGTTGATGAAAACTGGCTAAAAACCTGATTGGGTGAACCACATTATTTTCTTGGCTTGTCCCATACAACGGTTATTTCATACTGAAGAAGAAAAGACACAAGTCTGTTCCTTCTTATATTCTCTTCCAGCACCCCTCACAATGTCTCTTTAAAATTCAACCGCTGTGTGTCACTTTATGTTACTAACAGACAGGGTCTTGTTCACTGAAATAAAAATAAATTTGACTAAAAGTTGGACAGTGAGGGGCTCAGCAATAGGTGTCCAACACACACTCAGACACACACATCCACACACATCCAGACACACTTTCAACAGAGAGCATCGTTCAAGTAGATGGGCTTTATCCTGACTCACAGTTACACACTGATGAGAAGAAAACAGTACTCTTGCTTATTTTTTGTTTTCTCATTGACATAATTCTAACACCATAATTAACAGATCTCTGATCACAATGTCAAGCAACCATTATTTTGTGAACTAGACCTAAGAGAAGACCTAAGTGAAAAAGTTTCCACAAACTCTCTCCTTCTTTTCCTTTTTTTTTTTTTTTTTTTAACATTTCATAAATTACATTTTCAGACTAGATCTCTCCTATGTGTTTTTCATAGTGGTTGCCATAAAAATGGTTGACATGACAACAACATAATATTAGTGCAGTTGAATTATAAAAAAAAAAAAAGGTCTAAACAGTGGTGATGATAGTGGAGAGATGGAGGGGGAAAGGGGGGCATCTGGCCACCTTTGATTGGTGAACAGGTCTGACTGACAGCTCCCTCCACCAATCACTGCCTCTGAGACCTGGCACCTCGTCGCCTCCTGCCACGGACTGACCTCTCAGGCTTCAGCAGTGCTGTCTGGAACAAGAGAGAGAGAGATGACAGTCACATCAGGCCTGTCTCCTGGTGGAATGACTTTACCACTGTGGTCAGAACTGCACAGTCACTCCCAGATATCCAGCGCTGAGCACGGACTTTCCCTGGAGCAAACCTTTCATAGCCAGAGTGCAGTGTAGACTACAAAACATGATGCTCCAGCTCGCACAGATCCACTGTCTTTGCTTCTCACTGTTTTTAGGAATCTGAACAAAAACTTGAAGCCCACTGCTTTTGAGGTTAAAGGTTCATTCTTGACCTTGAAAGAACAAATCTTACTACAAGATAAGATTTTTTTCTCAACTGCTGTTTTGAAGATCAAGAATGAATCTCAGCTGTTTAGCCAACACGGATGAGAATGGAAATTAAATCATCTGTGATTCTAAGACAAATGAACAGCATTATCTGCTCATGAAAGTCATGTGATCTTTTTGACTGGTATTGTTTTCACCTTGTGAGTCTGTGTGTGTACTCATGTAATAACTCCTGGTTTGGAATGTCAACATGTTGGTTGATGTGTTTTTTTGTGCTACTCTCTGATTCTGTGGTTTTACTGCACTGCACTGACCCAGTTTCCTTGGGACAAGCAAATAATCAAACCACTGTCATTTACTGTCACTTTCATACAGTATATGAGAGTCTGATGATATGATAATGTTGCATGATTCTACAGCGGGGTCTTACCGTAGCCTTGGTTTCCTCTAGTGCTGTAGCATCCATGTCTCTGAAGTCTTCTAACACATTCTGTAGCCTAACAAACAAAGTAGGAACACACTAGTACTCAATACAGCACAATTTAGCCAAATACAGTTGTAATGAAGCATCAGCAAAACTAAAAGCTTGTCTTATGCATTGAAGATTAAAGTACAAGGTCTCCCTGTCCCCATCTGAAAAATGAACCGTTAACAAGACAACTTACGTTTGTTTCCTTTTCCTTCCTCTTCTGGCTCCGCCCGCTGCTCCTGCTTGATCCTTGGGAGGTAGAATCAGAAATCACATTACAACACCATCATGATTTAAAATGCAGCCACACAAAATGATCACAATGCTACATCCCTCTGTTTTAAGTCTTAGGTTCATTCCAAAGTGCAAATTCTGATGACTCATCAGGTTGATGATGCAGAATCAAACACTTACCCTTCCCTGTTCAGTGTGCAGCAATGTCCCAGCTGTCTCCTCACTGGGCCTACCACTGCATCCATCCATGGGACTAAGGTACCCTGAATGGGGAAGGTGCCCCTGTCTATCCCCCCCTGCCTCCACGAAAGGGCACACAGCTGCAGCAGGCCCAGTACAGTCTGTCTTAGCCTCTTCCAAATATATGGGTGGCATAGGAGGTTCTGGGTGAGTATGTCCCTCTACTATGACTGGCTTCCTTTGTAAGGGTGACGTAGACCCATCCTCAGTGGGTTTGGGCGTCCCCTGGGCTGGGGAATGGGCTGCTGCTTCCAGGCTGAGTCGGGATAAGTCTGGGTTGCGGAGGGAACAGGCCCTGCGTGGACTCAATGAGACTGGGGAACTTGCCTGTGGCAGAGTTGGGACAGAGGTGGATGGGGTATGGTGCGCCACAGGGAAAGAAACCGGCGGTAAGGCACAGAAGGGTGAAGTGGGGTCAGATGGACCCAGATGGGCCCCGTCTTCCTGCTCTTTAGCACTGACTTGAAGGAAGGAGGTGTAAATCGTGTCCATGAAAGAGGTGTAAGGGTCGATCACAGCCCTGCCCTCAGATTCTCGCTGGGGGGGTGGGGTGGGTTCTTGGGCAGGGGCAGGACCTTGAGGCAGAGCTGGAGCAGGACTGGGAACCACATCAGGAGTAATCTGACTGGTTGGAATATTTTCCTGTGGAGCAGGGTTTTGTGTTTCTTGCATTGAGACTGGCTTCTCTCCCTCTGAGGGTGGTGCAAGGTTCAGCTGGGGGAAAAAGGGACAAGTTCACTTCAATCAGGCAGTCAAATATTCCCAAATAAATATTAGGAAAACAAACATGTTTTCTCTTTGACACAAAACAATCCAAAAGCTACCCACATTTACTTACATATATACTGTACAAATCCATTAATAAGCCACAGACAATTTATAACAGCCCACTGCGTATCTGCCATCACAAAGTCCCATCCTATACTTTTTCACCTAAATTTTTACCTTTTAAGTAAATGTTAAATACGTATCAGACACTTTTAAGTAACAGCTGTAGAGTACAACATTTGCCACACCTTTTTTTCACAAGCTCCTTCATCAAAACAGTGAAGGGCCTGGTTCAAAACCAATACATTTCTAAGCTTAAATTATTGACAATATTTCTATGCGTCTCCCCCTGCTGAGAATGAGAGAGGTACAAGCAAAACAGGACACTCTCAGGTAACATAACGTACAATGAGTCAGAAGTCAAGAGTAATTTACACTAGTGGGCACAAACAGAATACATGCATTAAAACACTCTTCACATGTGCTGTGAAATGCTTGCAGTGTAGAGCCCAGCTGTCATAACGGACAGCAGCAATGCAACACTAGCATGCTGATGTAGAAAACACAGTAGAATGCACTAAAGAAAAGCTCTGATTTTGACTGACACCAGTCTTTAGGATTGGCTCAGGATATCTCCAGTTAAAGTATCAATTGAACAATCTAAGTGCAGACATCTCAAACAATTTCACTGTTTTGGCCGTAGCCAAATGATATACTTCATCTGCTAAGCTACATTCCAGTAACCTACCTGTATGTTGTTGAGCAAGTTAATGGCCCCATCTGGACCCTGCAGCAGAGGCATGCCCAAAGCAGAGGTTTGGACAGGGGGTAGGAGGATGGAACCTGTTCCAATCCCCACCATGTTATGGAGGCCTGTGATGGCAGAAAGATCTCCTACAGAAGACACATTTCAAAGATGCACTGATATAATGGCTTATTGCTACAGAATGGCTGCAGTGTTTTAACAGAACAGCTCATATGTTCCAAACACAGGAAAGAAACGTTACAGAGTGTGGGCACTTACTCACCTAATACAGCAGGGTTGAGCAAAGTGGGAAGTAACTGCTGGAGGATGGGGTTGTCTTTGCCTTGGAGAGATAGGGGTATGAGGGTATCAACACCAGCATCAGTAGGTACCTGGAGAGTAGAGGACAAGAGAGAAGATTTGAGTTTCAAGGTAGAGACAGGGCTGGAGACATACAGAGAGGCAAGTCTTCAATTTCAAATTCTTGTCTCTCTATCTGTCAAAATAAAAATGCTTTCAAAAATATCTGCATTTACAAATACATTAAGAGTGACACACTGCAATCAATGCAAACAGATCATTTTGTTTGTGGAGGGCTTCATTTAAAAAGTAGTTTAGGGAAAAAAGCAACTAACGCAAGGCAAAACAATGGAGCAGATCAGGAAATGAGCTCATAGGTTTTTCAAGGGAAACTAAGAGGAGCTCAGAGGAAAGACCTATGGGAGACAAGGGAGCCTACCTGAGGTTGGGTATGTTGGGTTTGCTGTGCAGGAGCTAATTGGGTGTGGGGAGGCGGGTGGAGCTCTGCAGAGCTCAGGGCAGCAGTGAGCAAGGCAGGGCTGAGGGGCAGGAAGGCTGCAGGGGGAGGAGGAAGAGTGGCAGGAAGGAGCAAAGACTGCAGGGCTTGGATCGTGCCCTCAGCTCCTGGAGGAATGGGGAGGAGACCCTGGGCGACCTCCAAGAGCCCCGGGCCCGGTAGGGTAGATGGATCCAGGAGGCCAGAGGCTTTATCCAGGGTTAGTCCCTCCAGTGTGGTGGGGATCTGCTGTGGTTGCTGGAGAGGAACTTCCAAACTGACTTGGCTCAACTGACCCAGCCCAGACAGAGGCAACAAAGGTGCCTGCTGTTGCCCAAGTAATAAGGAGGCCATAACCAAAGCCTGAAGGCTGGGTTTTTCTGTTAGCCCTAAATCAGCCTCCTGTCCTGGGGTAGGGGTTGTGGCTGGGGGTAGGAGCGGGTTCAATAGGCCCAAAAGGTTCAGAGGCAACTCTCCTTGAGCACCACTTAACAAGGGCAACAAGGGAAACAGAGGATTGTTGTTTATATGTTGTTGCTTCTGTTGTTGATCCTGGTTTTGCTGCTGCGTCTCTTGTTGTTGTATCAGTAAATGCTGTTGCTGCTGCTCTGATTGCTGCTGCTCTGCAAGATTCTGTGGTGTTTGTAGTGTAGCACTGGCAGGGGGTATCTGTGTATGTTGTCCTCCCAACCACAGCCCCCCTAGGGGCAATGAAGCAAGAACTGTAGGGTCCAGGAGGGATGGTACCCCTCCTGTGGATGACAGAAGCTGAAGCAGCTGCTCTTGGTTCATAAAGGGGAAGGCCTCTGCCAGATGTAAGGCAGGGCTTGAGTCACCCACAGCTGAAGTCGGGGGGTTGTTATTATCCCCAAGACGAGAGGTGATGGGCTCAGGGCTGGGGGCTGCTGGAGGTTTGGTCACTGTGGAGACCTTCGGGTCCACACATCCAGACTCGTCTGCCCCTGCAGAGGGAGAGACATGAATCATTCACCTCTGCTCAGGGTGACTCACAAATCAATACACTAAATATATTTTCTCACATAGGATTTAACTGTGTGGCTGAATCTGGGGCAGCAGTGAGCGCTGACAGTGAGCTAGAAAACAGCATTAAATTCACAAGCTAGAAATAACACATCAATAAAACACACTCTCATATGGTCCCAAAGCAACACCCATAGAGGGCGCAATCATGAGCCCTGAACCATCTTAAGACATATGGGCATCTGTAAAGCCTAACAGGGAAAGCTCAGGACCACACACAAAACTCACATTAATCACATTTGTATAAGCAACATTTTTGAGAGAATCTTCTATATAGGAACATTTTCAATAAACTGCAAATCTCTACAAACTGTTTTACTTCTATATGCATTCAAAAGTTCAGTTATATCTTTAAGACTAATGACACACTTCAGACTAAAGAATATCCTCACCTGCAGTGTGATTTTCTTGGGAAGACATGTCAACATCAATGGTGCTATTGGAGGTGCTGCCCTCCCCCTGTGGCACAGTAGAAGATGCTGCGAGAAGGGCCAGGACATGGTTACTAAGATCAAGAGGCTTTGGGGAGGTGGATATTGCCATAGTAACACTGCCTTGAGAATGACTCAGGTCAACTGATGTTGATAAGCTGTTACTACTGAGCTCCATTGCAACAGTGCCCTCTGGTGCGGCTTCCTGCAAAGGTGCCTGGGAAACAGAGTCTATTGTAGGAATGTGATTTTCCGTTGGTTGATGCTTGTCTGAGGGATTTGGGGACCTATGCTGAGATGGGCTGCTGCTGTTGTGTAAAGTTACATTTGAGTTGGGCGCCACTATTGCAGAAGGAGAATGTCTTTGTAGAGGACTTGACTTAGCAGACTGAGGGTGTAAATGAGACTGCACTGATCTGAACTGAGAGGAAGTAGGGGGAGGAGAAAGCGGCTGTGGCACCGAGAGCTGAGAGTTAGTGTCATTGTTTAGGCAGGGTGACCGACTCTGCGGGTGCCTGACGTTAGAATGAGGAGTGGGAGAAGAGGGCGAGAGTCTAGGGCTCTGTTTATTAGTGTGTCCACCTCCTTCAACAGACTCAGATCCTAGCTGAGCGGACGCAATGTTGGATGCTGATGTTGAGGCTGTGGCCTGTGCATTCTGTACACTGAGCAGGTGTAACAGAGCAGACAGAGGCTGGGTTGGAGGATCCAAGCCAAGAGGTGTAGGAGTCAGACCTGTAGTGAAATCCAGAGCCTCATTTTGTCGAGGAGGCCTGGAAAGGTGTGCTGTCTGTCGAGAAGCAGGGAGCCTGGGCATCTGCCCGGGGAGGAGATGATGATGGGTTTCCAACATGACAGCATTCTGGTTCTGCACAGTTGAGGTAGAGGAAGAGGAAGAGGAGGAGGAGTATGAGGAGGAGGGGGAGGAAGACGAGGAAAGGTTGATAACTGTAGCAGAAACAGCTTCTCCTGGTGGGGTCTTCTGTGGCCCATTAGCCTGCTGCTGGGTGTCTCTAAGCATGCTGAGAACTGTCGGAGACCGCCGTTGCCTCTTCCTGTGCGATGCATTGCGCTCCGCTGTGGGAGGCAGGTGGGGCAGAGAGGGAGCCAGGGACTGGGCCAGCGCGTGGGATGGAGGAAAGAGGATGGCAGAGGCTGCTGCAAGGGAGGAATGGGGAGGCCTGGTAGAAGCAATGGAGGAGGGAGGGTGGCTGTTATGTAAAGTGCTGTTAGTTACCTTTGATGACTGTTGCTGCTGTGCCTCTTTCAAGACCTCCAGAGAAGAGGGCAAACTTGCTGGGTTGCTGGTCGCATTTGAGCTCTGGCTCTGGGTTATCTGGTTAGCCAGTTGAGCCTTGGCAGCTGCAGAGAGCAAGTTACTTGCAGGAAAAGAAGCTGGATGTGGCATTTTGCCCTGATGGTTGTGGTGGTGGTTCAGAAATGCCCCCAGAGGCAAATTAGAGGGACCTGCAGAGTTCAACCCAAAACCTGGTGGTCCTGTGCTGGAAGTCTGACTCATGATGCTCTTTGAGGGCTTTGAGGAGAGAGCATGAGGGTTGCTACTGCTTTGGTTGGTCAGTAAGGAGGGGTTACTAGGGTTTAGGAGATGGTGGTTCTTAGTGCTGCTGTTGCCTGAGTTCTTAAACTGCTCCAAGATATCTTCCAGCTTGTACTTGGGGAAGTGGGGGCTGGGGTTTGGGGAGCCACCAGGGAGAGGGGAGTGTGGAGAGGAAGAGGTGGATTTCCTCCTCTGAGACAAGTTACTTCCCATCTGTCCTCCTTCTGCTAATGTTGAGCCTCCGCCCTGCTCAGAGAAAGGGGAAGGAGAGGCTGAAGGGTGGTGGGTCCGCTGGTGAGGAGAAACACAGTTCATGTTATGGACAGAGGGTGAGAGGGAGGGAGATGGAGAGAGGGTGGAGCCTCCCACAATAACACCATGAGGGTGATGAGTGTGAGTATGTCCTGCTCTTCCTCCTGCACCAAGTGTCATAGGGGAAGAGGGAGGAGGTGAAGAGAGGGGCCCTAGCCGAGGAGAGCCAGGGGTCTCCGGGGTTTTGGGTGTTCTTTGACCTTGACTGACATTCTGAGGTGTGGGGGTGCGGGGTGACCTCTGGGCAGCGCTATATGAGGGGAATGAGGAGTTGGAGGAAGAGGTGGAGGATGCAGGGAGAGGAGGAGGATGGTGAAGCCTTCTCAAAGTATCCAAGGGATGGTGAGAGTTTGTGGCTGTGTGAAGAATGGGGGAGGAACCATTGTAAGGGTAAATAAACTGGTGGGGGGATTTGGGACTGGCACAGGGATTTGAGTGGAAGTTGTTGTGGGGTCGAGCAGGGACTGGATGGAGTTTGGGATGGTAAATGCCACGGTCCTCTTCTTCCTGCTCCATGAGTTGGCCCTTTGGATCACGGCTGTCCCCTCGACTGCTCACCTCTGAAAGTAGACACACACACACACACACACACACACACACACACACACACACACACACACACACACACACACACACACACACACACACACACACACACACACACACACACACACAGAGCTTGTTACTCTACTTTCATAAATGGTATACTATACCATTTATAAACCAGTTACCATGTGTGAATATTCTGCCATAATGACTGACTGAGCGAGTGCTCAGGAAAAGCATCCTGATGTTTACACATACCATATTTTTTCGCTGAATGTCTGCTGTTTCCAATGTGGAAGTACATTACTGCTATCAAAATATCAGTAGTTTCAATTCTGTGTGGCTGACAGCTGCTACACTGACCAGCACTTATTTTGTCAATCCCACACCCACCTTCTCTCAGAGGATTTCCGGCCATCACTGCCTGCTCACACAGATGCAAGATCCCTCTCCCACCCACTCCTATGGTGATTCTGATCACACATAAGTGTTTTTTGTTCCCCAAATCAAAAATCTGTCTGGCGCCTTCCCACAGAGAAAATAAGATACATTTAGCACTTTTATGGATTTTGCCTGAGGCAGCAGAAACTAAAAATGTCACTGTGTCTCTGATATCTAATGGAAATTGCCATATTAACAGACACAAACCAGACAATAAAACGTCTTCAGTGTAGCAGTTGGTGTTATTGTTTACAGGACTGATTTGGATGTCAAATTGTTTAATGTCCTTAAAACACAGCATATATATATTAAAAAAAAAATAAAGAGAGAAAGAGGGAGGGAGAGAGAGAGAGAGAGAAAGAAAAAAAAGAAGTGGTCTCATATACTTTTTATAAATGAAATCTCATCTCCAATTCATCCCATGGTGAAATAGCATGTGCTCTCACACACATAACAGTCAATTTGTGTTGTTGTACTGTGGGAGCTGCAAGATCATAGACCTGTTGCAGCCCTCGATGTGAGGTTACTACAGTGCACAAAACATACTCAACTCTAAGATCAATAGATTTGGTGGATAAATTGCAGATTTTGACACCTTACAAAGAGACTCCATCACACCAAAAAGAGTTATTTCAGAGTTATTTTTTATGAATTTATTAGACTGTTTGATATTACAATGCTCAATGCTTCAAAACTTACCTGAATGATGTAGGTTGGGAAAGGGCAGCTGTGAGGCCTGCATACTGCGACACAGAGCAGCCATCGCTACCACTTTCCTGCGGTGGTTACACAGTTTGGTCATGTCCTGCTCTGTTTTGCCTAACGGTTGGCTGCACTGTTCCACCTTCACTCCCACAGTAAAGTTGAATACCTGCAGGATACCAGACAAAAGAGGATTCAACAGAATTCAGAGAGAAAGCTTTTCTTGACGTTTCATTAAATTTAAGACAACTCAAAGCCACCAGTGGGGGTGTTTCACACTCATGCATGCATGGATACTCACACAAAGAAAACAAAACACACAACTGTTATTAAGACTAAGTGACCCACCACACTGATCAAGTGAGTTTTAAGAGGTTAAAAGGTCCTCACCATGTTGTTTAAATATGTGTAATTGCACAATTAAGTGGCTATTAATTGTGGATACGACACTAGTAATGTTTTAATTTGTATTCATAGAGCGAGAAGAGAGGCTTTTACCTTGTGAATGATGAGTGGACACTCCAGGCCACATTTGCAGGTACCATCAGTCAACAGATAGGTCTTGACTTCGTCCAGAGAGGACAAGGCAGTGCCACTGGGACTACAGGAAGAAGGCAGCAACACCCAGTTGTTACAGAAAACTCAAAGTGAATTGAAAAGGACATGTAACAAGACATTTTCAAAATAGAGCAACATTCTGAGTAGCAAACCTGAACACACGTCAAGATCCCCATATTTAAAATCCCATTGAGATTTGAGGATTTGAAGGACTTACAGCCATCTACAGGATCACATACACAAACAACAAACTGTTGTGTTTTAAGTGGCTCTTCAAACAAGAACAGATTATGCACAGTACACATGATATTTGTGGTGATGACAAATTAGCGTTATTATAAGACTTATTATAGTAGAGTTGATTTAAATGTGATCTCAGCTCCCTCTCACCATGTTATCTCCTATTAGGGGTTATTTGAAAGATTGATAATGCAGTTACTTGGCTTGGTAGTTAACGCTGACTTAACTGATCACAAATCAAGGTGAAAGCCTATGTATAAATAAACTGCTGTTACATTATATCAGTTCCCCTAGGATGGCGTTGTAAGTTAGGGTTAGAGTCAGAATCAGGGTCAGGATTAATAAATTGCATTTACAACATGTCTCTAAATCCTATCCAAATAATATGGAAAGTTAATATCTCTGTGAGAGAATCTGCCTGTTATCTTTGAGATTGACAGTTTTTGCGTGCATAGTAAGGCACCTCCAGGAAGAAGAAAACATGTGCATGTTTAATATCTACCATCTTTGTATCAAGATGGATCTTCCAAACGTTGTTTATTTCACAGACATGTGTTTCCTTACATATTCCTATCAAATGAGTGAGTTTGCTTTAACATTAATGAGTGATACTCACAAGAAGTTGCAGGACTGCTCAGTGTCCAACATAGTATGTTTCCCCATTGGCCCACTTGGCTAGTAGATCAGAGTTTTACAGGCCCTTTGAACATTTTCACTGACCCAGCAGCCAAAAGTAAAAATAAATCTTTTTTTCATAATCTAATAATTATAGGGGTCCCACATCGCAACACTTACTGTAAAAAGATCATTCAATCATGCACTTATACTATATGATATTAGGTAAATATAATAATAACAACTGTACTTCTTCTCACTATTAGTTAAGTCCCTGCTTGACACAAACGACATCTTGAATAATGAGGCAGTCCACAAATTTGGCATGGATGGGAACAATAATCAAATGAACCCTTTCAGGCATTCTGTGTGTTGAGGAAGCAGCAAACAAACACCATCATCTGATGCCAGTCACATTGCTGAAAACAAATCTAATAGCGGATAATAAAACACAGCTGAGCACCACACAGCCATAATGTTAGTACTGGACTTTTAACTCAACCTCAGAAGTTAGCACAGGGGTTTAGCTTAACGCAGCCCGCATAAACTTTTTCTGGCCCTGGGCCCCAGGCCATCAATTATGTGGGACGCTGCTGTTCTCCCCTCGCCAAATGATAATCCTGAATCTGGGATCAGCGTTGCTTGCTTCATTGTTGACACCTACCCTGTGCTTGTTGTTATAATCATTGTGCTGTCATTATCAGGTACAGAGTTTTGTATGCTTTACTCACAGGTGTGTGAATTGACCTGGATATGAGGCATCTGTAGCCCAAACAATATGGGCCTAACATTAGTTAGAGAAAAGACAGAGCTCTCTTTTCTCCTCTTGTGAAAAAACTAAAAAACAACAGCAGTCGTCATATTTTAAACAGCTCATTGCTGTTTCAGTGATTCAGCCATCATGTGCATCTCAATTTGACTAGTTGAAAAAATGACCTTCTCTTGATAGACAGAGGTCCTACACAATTTTATATTTAAAATGTCACATTTTGTACACTTTTACTTTGAACAAGATCCAAACCACTGTTCAATGAAATATGTGCATTCCAATCAAAATGGTGTCTTCTGTCCTGGGCTAGCCAAGGAAAATAAGCCAAAGGGAAGTCTTTATTGGGGAAAAAAAATGACTGCATCATCATTTTTCTTGGTAATATCCCCCCAAATATGGTGGCACAACCAGCATTCACATTTCTCCAAAATGATTTATGTAGTTTACACACACACACACACACACACACACACACACACACACACACACACACACACACACACACACACACACATTAATAGGCCTTCACATCAGAATCATTTGTTAAAATATTGGTAAATATCTGCAAAAAGTATACATGTGCTTTCTGTTCAACTGCACCAACACACCTGACATAGATCACCCGCCCGCTCTCCATTCTCCTCTGCCAGCCGATGGGGACGTGTATTGCAGTGGTGTGGACCCCATCCTTGTCCCCAGTGACAGTCTCACTGCCTCCCATCATTTTGTAGCTGCAGCCTGCCAGCACCTTGGAAAATCAGCCAATGTTAATACATCTTTTCTTTTAATCCCATAATAATAGAGTTCAATTTCTTTAAAGAGCCAAGAGTTTTGCTTTGAAATGTCAAATATCCACTTTGAGTCTGTAGACACAAAACAAGGATTTTTCACCAATGTCACTGTCTAAAATGTTTTGATGTGTTCATAAAGTTACAGGCTAAAGTTGTCTCATAGCGTCACCATTATTCAATAATGAATTTTACTTTTGTAATCTTATCAATGACATTTGAATGCCATTATGGAATGACACTACCAGAACTACCACTGCTTATAACATGTAAGTTTGTGGCTCAGTGGGAGTCACTAAATAAGTAAACACATGCATGTATAAGATGGATAAACAAATGTCTCTGCAGTCTAAGGAATAGCAATGCTCTAATTAAAGAAAACCTGAATGCCAGATGTGTGGAACTCAAAATATGAAGTAAACACTGCTGGGTGTGACCATAGCAAAATAAGTATTTCAGTGTAATGCCAAGGTAGAGAAATAAAAAAAGAATAACTGAAGCACATTTTGCATACCTTGTCATCTTTGGGAAGCCAGGATCTGTTTTGGCTAGGGTATCCACTGTCCAATGTGCATGCTGGTGGGTTAGAAGCACACAGACTGCCAGTAAATCTGACTTGAGGCCCAAACACCTGGACTTTCCCCAGCTATGAGGCAGCTCCTCAACTTAGAGGATGACTCCTACAGATGAATTTGTTCAGTTCACATCAGAGTAGGGGCTTGGATGAAGATGGGCAGCCTGCAAAGAAAGGTGGAGGTGGATTATATAATCTGACAGGGATAACCGGGGTAAATAACTCACGCAATAAACAGTTTCCTGCAATTCATGTGATTCAAGCGTACTTAAAAATGTTGCATCAGTTGCATTATTCTTAAAAAAGAAAACAACTTCTGAACAAGCTGCGGCTACTTTGAAGTGGGAGAGTGTGTTTTGATAGGCCCGTGGTTTACTGATGTTTAGTTACAATAAAAAGCAGCCAAGAAGCTAACAAGCTAGCAACATGGACGGAGCTTAAAATAAAACCTTAAAGCAACTGAGCTCAGGTCAACATATCTGCAGTGTGCAGCCATGGAACAATATTTCCCCAGCAACACGGCAGAAGGCAGCTAGGCTAACAGCTAAGCTAATAGGCTACCCTACTTTGTACTGTGTTGTCGTGACAGCTGTCAGGCGCACAAAACACTCCAATGCGAAACTCTTGCGTGTTAGCTACAGTAACATATAACGAGCAATGCACAACACAGCTTTGCAAAACATACTCAATGAATGTGGACACCAGATTGCCCTTACTTATTTAATGACAGGCGTTAGCTAACGTTTGTGTTAGCGGAACCTGTGACCCTCTCTCTGCCTTCTGGCGAAGTTTTGGAGTCCTGGCTTTTCTGGGTCGCGGGAGAATCAAGAGTTAGCTGGTTAGCTAACAGACTAGCGGAGTGTTTTGAAAACGGCTGATACTTAAATAAATAACCGTGAAATAAATCATTCGGCCGTTCAAATCACGTATTCGCGCGATTAGTCAGCTCTCCGCGTTTATGCAACGTCTGCCAGTCGGATTTAAAAACAAAGGGCAATAACGCTTCATTTTCCTGCGCCTGGGAGGTCGGTGCTAACGCCAGCAGCTAGGCTAGCAGAGCTAACTGACTGAAATTTACTTGATTGTGGAGAGTCCCGACAACACCGGAGGATGTCCCGTTCCCGCTGCTCGGCTATCCAGCCGTCACTTTGCTCTCTGTTCTGCTAAACCGTCTTGCAGTGATATGTATTCCGAAAACCATAATAACGGCCCATGTAATCCCAAATTCACAGTTGCCCACTGGTTTTTTTTTTCTTACAGATTCCGAGAAAAAAAAATAATGGAGTTTTCTGTCGGGCATGCGCACTTAGTGCTCATGGAGTATTGTACCCAACATGCACCGGGACCTTTGTAGTGCTCCAGACAGACATGAGAGGAGCAGCCTGATGGAGGACATGATAATGACACAATAATAATAGGCTCGGGATTCATGTCTGCAGCTCACAATTATGCATTCATTCTCACCTGTCTGCACTGAATTTCAGTCCAGAAAACACGTCTTTTATCTTATATCCATATATTAGTGTATAAGTCTATAAGTGTGAAAAGAAAATCTCGAGTCCCCCTCTGGTGGATCAACCCTAAATTAAAAAGTAGCTTCTTAATGCATTCATTAGTTCAGTTTACATGAGTTTACAAGATAGTTGGAAAAGAGGGTGTTCAGTTGGGGCACAAAGCCCATGTTTGTACTAGGACCATTCGGTGGTTAAAATACACAGCATTTCCAGGTTCTAAATACACAACATTTGCAACACACATTAACATTTCTAACATAAAAAGCAAAAACTCTGATTTTAGTGACTCCACCTCCTTAGATCACCGTCAGGGTAATGGTGACTTGCTCAAATATTCTGTCAACACTGCCTTTGAAAGTAATGTGAAAGTGTGAATCTGTAGACCTGTGACGATCATCGAGATGAGTTAATACAGACAACAATAATTCTCCAATTTTGTCTAGTGCAAACAGTAAAAATGTGACAAGTCCTGGTCCATTGAAGCACAATACAATATTGCATAACCCATAACAGGGCAGCAGCCAGAGTTTTAGAAACACAGAGGTCAAGAGTAAAAATTTCCCCTACGCAATACTAACCTCCAAAACAAAGCAAGATGTTTTCCATTTTATTTACTTTTTACCTTTTCCATTTTTAAATTATTTTTTTTATATGTTATTTAATGATGATGTAATTTTAAACAGTGAAACAACAGTGTCTTCATTGGTAGCTACAACCACAATAATTCATATACACAGTAATTCATATACAGCACTGATATGAATCATCAGATAAAATTTGTGCATCGTTTGCGCTGTCCATGGGATTAAAGGACAAGGACAGTGAGCAGTATGAAAGGCTTAGTGTGTCTCTGTGATGTGTGTTTCTGTTGTCTGTGAACAAGTGGGACAAGGGAAAAGAGATGTGTATATGTGTGCAATGAAGACAGAGAGAGAGAAAGTATCTGATTTCCTCTCGTCATCGGTGCTCAGTCCGAGGTCCCCAGCTGTTGCAAACAGTCAGCTTGACACATGAGTGCTCAGCCTACCAAGCACACAAACATACACACACAAAATTATAGATAAGCACACAAATACAGACGTATGGTCACACTCTTAGCCTGAAACTCACTTTGGAACTCACCTGGACAGACTAAAGAAGGAATAAAGAAGGGGGTCCAGGCTGTGCGAGTGTTAGAATCCCGAGGGCCTGAAGTGACGAGGCTGGTTGGTCGGCTGGTTTGTTAGACTCAGATCCATTGACCATACAACACTCCATTCATCGCCAGCGGGTGAAGGACTCATTCACAGAGATTTACCAGCACACCGGGTTTGTAGTTTCTTCTTTGTGATCTGTGTGAAGTTTGACAACAGGCGCGTTCCAGGATTGAAGCATGGACTATTCTATTATAAAAAATGTTAAAGTGTGTTTATTTGAATTAATTCCAATGGAACAGTTAGGTTACATAAAGCTCTGAAATACTAGATTAACAATTGCCATTTCGGGAATGTTTTTTATTCACAAAGACTAATTTGTATTGCTGTGAATTTTGCTTTTCTTTTCCTGACAGGAAGGGGCAGCCATATTTAGCTGTGATTAGATTCAATTTCACAGTCCTTGAATAGCTTGGGTCAAGTGGATAAGTGCATTCGCACAGTATGTGTGTGTGTGTGTGTGTGTGTGTATGCAATAAGTGCACAGCTAACATGTAACTTTTTTATGTGTTCATACAAACACAAGAATATGTCCTGTATATCTGCACTCACATGTCTGTGTCTTAAACAAGAGTATCACTCAATCACTTAATTTGCTGTCTATATATTTCATTCAGTTGTGTTTGATCAGAAGTTTGCACATATGGCTTGTGGTGCTTGTTGAGTTTACCCAGAATATGGGAAAAGACATAACTTCACAAAAAGATAATAAAAAGAGGAAATGCTTTAAATTAATAAATAATTATATAAATATCTTTGTAGGTGAGGAAGCTCTGACATTGTCCAACAAACACCACCAAACACCATGGACCTGTGAGTACATTTTCTGAAATCACTTCAATTTTCTCTGCAATACAAACATATTGCTTGCCCTACTTTGCCAGCCTGCGCCTCTTAACCATCGCTGAAAGTCTCCACTGAAATTTTATTTGGTTAAATGTTGGGACAGCACAGACTGAAAAGCACCAAAGCATCCAAAACTGTCATCATTATCATAGATCATCCATGTCTGAATATATTCACATACAATAATGTTAAAGCAACTCTAAGTTCTAACTCTAAGTTCATTTGAGTATCTGCCAGAATAAATAAACACTTAACTATTTTAAGGTGGAATTGCAATTTGATACGGGCACAAAGCACGTCAGCTACATCAGGTCACTCCATGGCGTTATCCTGTGAAAACTTCTAACCCCAACATTGGCAGTTTTAAGTTCATATGCCTGTGCTTAAGTATCACATGTTCACCTATTTACTAACAGGAAATTGAAAAACTAAAGTTAACACATTGAAGATACAACAGAGTAATGATACAGCTGCATGATCTGATCTTACTCAATGCTGTGCTTTTTTTTTCTTTGTGTGTGTGTCAGGGAGGATGACAAAAACTCAGTGGATATCCATGACAACCCTCCAGCTCCTGACAATGTAGTGAGGGAGGACGGAGACACCGTGAGTGTCAGGACCATGTCAACCCCCCCACTGTTAGCAGTGCCATTCCTGAGCAGTTTTAAATAGCCACCAGCTGGGACAGGAACGCAATGCAGAGTCAATTGGAAAAATATGAACTCTGACTTCGGTGTTTCTGTGTTTTATTCCCCTGTGGGTTAAAGTAACACGACTGACTTACCTGCAGAGGACAATCATTGTAGGTTTAATTAGAAGGGTGATTCTTTAGATCCTGAAAAGTACTACTCTGCAGTTATGGTTAATTCTAATAAAAGTATATTTGAAAAAAGGTGCACCATTCAATGCCAGTCCTCTACCCTTGGGGCTTTGGCTGTGTAGTCCAATGTGTAAAGAATACAGAAATTAAACAGACTCTGGAATGGTCATCAGTTCTAGTAGACACATTTCAACACAACAAATTTGACAGAACAAAACTGTACATGATGCTAAACTGCACTGTGCTTTAACATATCAGGTCTCCAATGATGACAAGTGGGCAAGACTACAGAGCACAACAATTTGCCACAAAACATTTCACACAAATTTCACATTTAATCACTGCGCCCTTCTACTGACCATGATACACAGGCAATGTTGGCAAACGAGGCTAATATTTCAACATTTTGACATTTTTTCCATAACAATACCATGTTATTCACACAGACCTAGTCCACATGATCATGTTTTTTTTCCTCTGCTGGAAAATCTTCAGGAGCAGCATGAAAACGTTACCCATGAATTGAGTATGTGTGTGTATTTTTTTAAATGACAGTCTGAGTCTTTTGTGTCTCCAGGTCTATTTCATATATGAGGAGGAGGTGGAGGTGGAACCAGAACCAGAACTTCCTCCTGATCCAGTTATCCGGGTCAACGACAGACCCCACAAGTTCAAGGACCACTACTGCAAGAAACCCAAGTTCTGCGATGTCTGTGCTCGCATGATAGTCTGTATGTACTGGAAAATATATACGCAAACATCAACAACATTATTATATTTTTTCTTATAATGTTAGCCTGTGATCTACACACAGTATAAAGCATTCAGAGTCTTTTTCTACTGACCCCACAGAAGTTCCATTGTTTATCTTTCAGTGAACAACAAGTTTGCTCTGAGGTGTAAAAACTGCAAGACCAACATCCACCACTCATGTCAGTCATATGTTGAGTTCCAGAGATGCTTTGGCAAAATTGTGAGTCCTGTTCCTCCTGCTGTCTCGTGCTCTGCGAATGGATTTCATTACAGTGGCCACTAAACTTATTCATATTCCCTTTACTTTTGCCCAAGGTAAAACAGATATTTATCACTAATACTGTTGGAAACATTCAAACGTGATGTTCTTTTTTTGTTCCATCTAGCCACCTGGCTTCAGAAGGGCCTATAGTTCCCCCCTGTACAGCAGTGACCAGCCAGATCAAAGTGAGTCAACTGAGTCCTGAACCATAGTGTCTCATGTATATCCAGGTCTAACCTTATATTCAGGGCTGTAGGTAACATGAATATGACTTATGTCATGTCCTCATTTTGTTTTTAACAATTAGTAGGTTTTGGCCACCAGTAGAGTTTAAACAACATTTTGACCTCAAGTTTCTCTTTTTTTTTTTTTACAGAAGAAAATGAATAGTTAACTCAGTAAATAAAATTGTCCAGTGAAATCCCATATCTCCATATTTAGTAATCTAGTCTTCTTTTAGTAATTTAAAGGAGCTATTTGTAAGTGTTATGTGCTATTGTTATGTAGCCAGCATTAGCATTAACAGCTGTTTACTGTCCTGCCAAGAGCTTCATCAGTTGTTGTATTTGCAATACAAAAGGTTATAAAATGCCCACTGTACAGCGCTACTTCTTCAGGGCAGACTGGACACCACATTGACTCAGTACTGGAGTGAAGACAAGCTGACTGGACCAGAGCTAGCTGGTTGGCATGCTATTCAGTAGAACAAAAGAAGTGATAGAAATAGAGGCAAATCAAGAGGGTTGCTTTCAACTGCTGAAAAGGAATGAAGTTTGATACTGAACATGCCATGTTTCCCCTACACTGGTAAGTAAACAGCTGCTAGAAAGCTAAAATACATAGAATTCCCCCATAGAAGGAAGGAGAATTACCACTAATGGTCTCCCTCCCCCTATGCCTGGACTCCCAAGCATCACTCCTTTTGTGAGAGCAGGACAGCTTCCAGTGAAACCATCTGCAAGAGCAGAAGCAACTCTTGGACACTGCTTGAGACTGGAAAATGCAGGTGGATTTAGATCAGAAACTCATCTTTCCTCCAAAGATCAGTACAACTAATCTCAGACTCGACCTGATCTTGTTATTAATCTTGCAGAAGTCCCTGTACATAGAGGAGCTAATGGTACCATAGGAGGCTGCAGTCAGGGAAGCTAATGAATGCAAAAGCCTGAAATAAACAGACATAGCAGCCGAGGCAGAACAATTTGGCTGGCATACCCAGGTGCTCCCAGTAGAGGTTGGGTGTAGAGGATTTGTAGCAACATCAACAACCAGGCTTCTGAAGAGTATGGGGGTTCGAGGACAGGCCTTCTGACAAGCCGTCAGGTCACTATCAGAGGCTGCTGAACGAAGTAGCAACTGGCTTTGGAGGAAGAGGAAGGACTCCAACTGGGCTGCAAGAGGTCCAACATGAGGGGTGAAAGTGGAGGGGAGCACACCTGGGAAGCCAGGAGTTGCTGTTGAGCCCTCTGGAGGTGTCATGAGCCTATGAACGAACACCAATGAAGGAGGGTGCCCACCTAATGACCCCGATGAAGTGATTACCCCTCCCCCACTCAAGATACAAGATGCCGATTATTCTTAGGGATTGTAACAACAAGTCCTATGAGCTCAACTTTCAATGATGATCAATGTTGATGTCTGGTCAAAAAGTTGTTGGACTCATGACCTCATTAGTTCTAAAATCCAGGCGACGGCCCTCATACATCATATTTTGCTCTTCAATAGAATATTTGTGTAAGAATATTGTTTAATTATCTGTACCAATAATTATCTGACTAACTACTCTGTCCATGACCAGACAACCCGAACCGGAATGACCCCGTCTTTGATACCCTGCGGGTCGGTGTCATCATGGCAAACAAAGAGCGCAAAAAGAATGAAAATGACAAGAAAAATGTGAGTGTACAATACACATCATAATCAAACCATAACAACTGACATTTTCAGAAATAAAACTTCACACGTTCATTCACTGACACCAGTAGAAAAAAATGAATCAAGTATAGATTCACACACAAGATATTCAAGCAAACACAAAATTTTGAGGGGATTTGATGTCATGTATTAATTAATATATGAAATATGATATATGTGTCCAGTGCATATTTTAACATATTATTTATTTTGTTGTCTAGATGATGATGATGATGGAGGAAGAGGAAGAGGAGAACCAGCAACCTAAAGAGAATGAGGAGGGAGGAGAAGGTACAAAGAAACAAATAAATTAGATGGTTAGATGATTTCTGTGGTGAATATTAGTTATGGTCATAAAAATTCTGCCCTTAATCCTCTATTGAACATGGAATTTAGTAAAAACATACACTCCAGAAGATGTTCTGTGTAATGAGAATACAGAACAAAACTAGGATGCTACAAATCCCAAATGTAATGATAGCATGAAATGAGCCATTCTCAATTTCTAAATAGCTGGATTTAAATGCTTTACCATAAAAAAGCAAGGCCTTTGCTGGTGACTCTGATGTCTGATGTTCATACAGGAAAGCCTGATGATAAGAAGGAGAAAGGAGGAGACAAAGCAGATGACAAGGTGAGAAATCACTGAAGCAGCTATGCAGAGTAACTAATGCCCTGTTTTACCAGCTGCACTACTCTACATACACCTGTTTTTATTATAAATCAATATCAGTTGTCATATGTAGTAGCATCTGTGCTGTTTCATCAGCAGAATAAAGGTACATTCTCCCAGTCCCACTATTACCTGGCTCTCTATCGCTTCAAGGCCATTGAGAAGGATGACCTCGACTTCCAGTAAGTTTGAAAGACAAAAATGCTTAACATGCAGTAATTACAATTACATTAATCAGTAGAAAGCCTTTATTCTTTTATTTATTCAAGTAACTCGACCTTCATTTTCAATAAGTGAAATGTTGAATTGAATTATTAAACAAAAAGGCAACGCTGAAAGACACTGATTGTGTATGTGTTTATGTATAGCCCTGGTGACCGGATCACAGTCCTGGATGACTCCAATGAAGAGTGGTGGAGGGTGAGTTTAACTTCAATCTGAATCTGAACTGTGCTGTTTCTGTACTGTCCCTCTGTGTTCTTATTTTCCTTGTACTGTGCTGAAGTCTGTTCACTCTATTTTCAGGGAAAGATGGGGGATAAGACAGGCTACTTCCCCACCAACTACCTCATTAAAGTGCGTGCATCAGAAAGAGTTTTCAAGGTGACACGTTCCTTTGTAGGGAACAGAGAGATGGGACAAATCACACTGAAGAAAGATCAGGTAACTAATGTGTGTAAGTGTACGTATAACTGAACAACAGCAATAACATGCAACACTGTAATACGTTTTTCATGTGGTCGTGCTATTGTTGCTCACTTATAGGCTGAAAAGATCTATCTAACAATAAAGTTTTTCTTTTCTTTAGAGATCTATGAGAATAAAGAAAGCAACATCATTACATCAACCTCCTGTCCAAGTATAATGTTAATCTTATCAATAATAAGTTAATACTGATGACACTGTGGTCACTCTGTGTTTTAGATTGTGGTGAAGAAAGGAGATGAGAAAGGCGGCTACTTGAAGGTCAGCACTGGACGCAAGCTGGGCTACTTCCCTGCTGATCTGCTGCAGGAGATCACTGTGACATAAAAACCATGATATGCAATGAAGGAGCATCCAACACTCTTTAAATCTCATTACAAACTAGTGCCATCAATGTTGAGATCCTCCTAATGTTTCAGCCATTTTCTATATTTGTAAAAGAAATTGCTCTTGTTGTTTCTGTCACTGCAGAAATGTACTTGGCTTGATCTAATTGTGCCTTCGAGATGAATGATTTGACAGTTTGAAAAACTGTTATCATTATTATCATTGATATTACATTTACAAGTTGGAAAGAGACAATTAAGTGATGTATTGGCTTTGTTGTGAATAGACGGTCAGATGCTTTAAGTTATAACCTGCTGACTATACAGTAGCTAGCATTGAAAACCTGGAGAGCCTTGCAGAAGTACATAAAGCAATTCATTAATTAATATGAGGGTAAACAACTAATAAAGGCTTAACATAAGATTAAAGAAATGTATCCATGTATTTCTAAATCAATTTGAAAAAACAGTTTTTAAAGGTATCATAGATAAATGGTGGCAGGGGTGGCAAATGGAAAATTGATAGTGAATCAAACTGTAAACACAAAGACTCCATGTTTAATTTTTAGGGTTGTTCAACTAGCTCTTTAGTCCCATTTAACATTACTATTAATTTACATTTTACTGCTTGTTCCAAAGCCATTTCAGCATGTACATAACTTTGTATTAAAAGAAATTGCAGAGACAATTTTCAAGATTGGGTTTGCATGTAATTTCATATGTGATCCTGACATAGTGCAGAAAATCTGTCTAAATGTGTAAAAAAGCAAAAGTGCTTAAATGGTTTAATATGTTTGCACTTATTACTGCTGATAGTTAGTTGAATGCCTGAAGTATACATGTTTCAAATATTAAACCTGAAGTGCACTGCTAAACTATTTAATTGTTTCCAAAAAGCAACATAGTACTTAAAACCAAAATAGATGATAGAAGGAGATGCATCGAGTTTCATTAAGTTCAAAAATATTTCCTTGTCAGAATTTGTTGCATTTACAAATAATTTTTTTCAGATCTTGACTTTTGACTTTCTTTAACTGTGATCTGCAAATTGGCTTAATAACCTGGTGATGTTAACCATAGCCAAAGCTTATGATAGGGTCTAATGGCCTTGCATTAAGCAGTCATGCAGTATGTTTTGCATTGATATACTATTTTCCGCCATTATTTCATTGACACATTTCCCTCAAATCAATGACAGTTTTATGGGAATAAAAACAAACAAATAAATAAAACAAAATCGACATGTCTATCAAAATGTACAAATTAAAATATAAGAAGCTACACAGTGTGATAAATATAATGCATCACACAGTGATAATAAAATACAACCAACATGTGAAAAGAATTTCCGGCCTCGACAACATTACAGTTCCATGAGTTTCAGATTCAGAAAAATCCTTGTCCTCTGTGCAAAGACAGCGAGGAATGTCCTTGTTGACAGTTTTTATTGTTTGTGACTCTCAAAGATGTGAAGAATGATGTGTGACCAGTGAACGTAAAAGTCATTATGCAGTTGATCTTTCAAAGATCCAGTGCAGTGTGTCGGATGCCCAGCACGCTTGATTAAAGGTTTTTGAGGAGCATGCATAAAATCATCCTCACTTCACATTCTGGGGACATTAAACATAGAGAGCCTAGCTGTAAGACATCTCTACAGCATTTATAACTGCTTCTTCTATTATCACCACAAGGACTTTTACATACTAAAGGACACTGAAGACTGTTAATCCAGTTTTATTAATATACTTGTGTCCTACTAAATCAGTTTCTATCTGTTTGCATCCTTGATTCACAGTTTGAACAATGACATGAAACAAACAGTACAGCATCTTTAAGACAAGACAGCAGGCAACAAAAGACAGTTATTCAAATTGTACTTGGTGAAAACCAGCTGTGGCACATTCATAGGGAGAAGTCTGTAGTCTGGAGCAGCAGCATTTTAAGCAGATCTTAAATCTGGGGTCCAAGAGAGTGGCTTTAATGTAGTGTAGATGTTGGTGGGTGTTTCAAAGATGTGTTGAAACTGTTCCTCCAGGGGGCTCTGCAGTGAAGCGACTAGCTTGCTAGTCTCCAACAGATCACTCACATCCTTATTTCTATAAGTTTGATGAGTACAGCTCTGAGGGCATGAATGCACAGAATCACAGAGGAAACGGATGTCTCATCTTGGCACACTGTGCGTGTTGTTGTCTAACATTCTACAAATGAATATGGCAAAAGATCCATGCAAATCATTGCACCCACATTTCCAGTGACTGTCTGGGTCATTTGGCAGTTCAGTGAATCTGGGGCTCCTGATTGGAGATTCAGGCAAACAGGTGGAGCCACGGCTGGTAAGGGGTGAGGGGTCTGGTTTGTTTGTGATCTCCTGCTACTCTGGTCGCTGGCGGTTAGATGCCCTAAATCCTTTCCTCTGCTCACAACTCTCTTACATATGTTGCACACCACCTTGGTCACGTCATCATCACAGGTTTCCAGATGGCACTCTTATTCCTCCTTTGCTTTTTCATTGGTGGTCTGTCCCCCACGTGTTGTTGTTGATAACCACCAGCAGCAGTGTCAGTCTGTGAAATCTTCAGTCTTTAAAACATCATGAGTATCTATGACTGCTTTCAACTGATGACTTTATTGGCAGAATCAGCTCCGACTATAGGAACAATGATCAGCAGATTACAGGATGATGAGATTTTACAAGTGGACCTTTAGCTGCTCCAGATAAAGTCCCTCTTCTTCTCCTCTCCTTCCCTTAGCAGCAGCAGCAACAACAACAACAACAACAACAACAAAGTAGTCCATGCGTTCTACAAAGTCAGTGCAGAGGAGCTCCTCATCTCTCTGGTAAATGTCAGTGATGTTCACAATAAATCCGTGCACGACAGAAACAAACCTTCTTCCAGCCTGTCTGTGCCAGAGACAGAGTGGTCTCATGTTTTAATGGAGTTTGACATTTTCTCTGTCTTTCCTGTTTTGCTGCTGTTTGCGCTTCTTCTCCATCTTCTTCTTCTTTTGATTTGATTGGCGGTTGGCAACCAGCTTTCAGGTGCATTACCGCCACCTGCCGTACTGGAGTGTGGAGCATTAGAATGGAACGAAAATAATAATAAAAGTTAATTAATTAAATAAAAGAAAAAAGGACTACATTCTGTTTATCAACCCTGTGTTTTGAGATACATGATTAGATGAATAAACATTATCCCTGATGTTTCTCTGAGTAGGTTCCTAACGTTGAATAATGCTGCTCTTAGAGTCTTTCTTTCTTCCTCATATCCTCTACATTGTAACAGCACATGCTTAACTGATGTTGAATCTCCACAATGTGCACATCTACCAATTGGATGTTTACATATTTTGTGTAGTGTCTGATGTATTCTAGTATGTCCCAATATTCTTGCCATATTTTTTTGCATTTGACTCTTTATGATTGTTTTACCTTCTGCTTTACTTAACTGGATTTTAATGTTTACTGTTTGCAATTAAAGTGATTGTTTTGCCAGTATGTCAGCATCCCCGTTTCCTTCTACTCCTACATGGGCAGGAACCCAAACAAAACAGACACTCAAGCCCTTATTGTACATACTGCGTATTACATGATGAATTTCAAATAAAATATCTTGTCTACATGATTTCACAGATTTAATGCTTGTGAGTGCTGCCAAACTATCTGATGCACTTAATGTATTTGTTTTGTTGTTCTCCTCTAACCATTTGAATGCTATCAGATTAGCAACAAGTTCAACTGCATATACTGATAAACGATCTGTGGTTCTTTCCTTTATTGCAACCCTGAACTGTGGGATGAAAGCTGCAACTCCTGTGTGTCCAGTCTCAGGATCTTTTGACCCATCCGTGAATACCAATAATTTATCCCCATAGTGCTGTTCAATGTAATTTTGTGCTATACTCCCAGCATATGCCTGTTTGGATTTCCTCTTTAATTGCTGCTGCAAGTTTAAATGACTAATGATATATGAAATAACCATGGAGGAATGGCTGAAGAAGGGACTGTTGGACTGCACTGTATGTTAGTTAAACCTACATTTTCGACTTTACTATTTCCTACCCAACGAAAACTTGAATGGGTTTCATTGTGCTCCCAACAGTCCTGCAAGATGGCCTTTAGGGTGTGAGCTTCTATGACCCAGCAAATGAATCCAGTATGCCAACATAAGCTTCACTCTTCAAATTCAGTTACTCAGTCAAGCAGTTATTCCCCCATTTCCACTTGCATGGCAGCTACTGGAGATGTTTTAAATGCTCCACTACATTTTCTTACCCCTTGAGCTTGTTCCACATCCAACTTATTAAGATGACTCTCTGCTGCAGACATATAAGCCACACACCCATAATCTAATGTCCCTCTCATAAGGGACTGGTATATATTGAACAATGATGCTCTGGTTGCTCCCTGGTCTCGTCCTGACAGGCACCATAAGCTATTGTAGACTCTTTTACGTTTGTCTTTTACTTTTTCGATGTGCTGCCTCCAGGTCAACTTTTAATCAAATAATACTCCAAGAAACCAAATCACACTGACCTGTTCTAGTGTTTGGTCATAAAGTTTCAAAGATATTGTCTTATGTTTGGAAAAACATATCACTTGCGTTTTTGCAACAGATAGTTTTAATGCCTGCTTATTTGCCATGGCTTCACCATCTCAATGGCAAACTGCATTTTCTTTTGTGTAAATCTTAAATTCCGTCCTCTTATCCATAATGCCCTGTCATCCGCATACAGCGATTTGCCTATCCCTTTCTCAACTTTCTCAAAAACATCATAGCTCATGATATTAAACAGCACTGGACTGCAAACACTGCCCTGCAGGGTTCTGTTCTCTACTAGATATACTCTTGAGAATTCTTTACCTTTTCTTACCTCTATTGTCCTACCGAATAGGAAGTCAAGCACCCAGTTATATGACTTCCCTCCCACACTTTCCTCCCTCCCACACCTGATTTACTTAATTTAATGAGAAGTCCTTCTTTCCACAACATATCATATGCT